AAAATGTTTAACTGCATCTATAAATATCATAAAACAAAAATTATTTAATTTCAATTTTTTTTAGGGAGAAAAATGCACCAAGATTTTAACCAAAATTTACTATTATAGCATGAGTTATGCCCCTTTTCTGAGTAATTTTTCAATGGAAATTAAAATACCAAAAATAATGTTTTTTTCCTTCTTTAGATTTTTTTCTTTTTTCTTACCACACCTAAGAGCTTGACTGATCACCCTGTGTCTGGCATCTGCCTGTGTAATCATCTGTTATTTTTTTTTTTCTTCAAATTTTCAACTTTTAAAGCTTAATTGCCTGAGCCAAAGATTCAAGTGAGCTTTTCTCATCAATATTCCTCCATGTTTGTTGTCTTAGACCTTATTGTAAACTTTTCACAGTTTCATCTTCCTTTTCAGAACCACAATCAACCACTTGGACAGATAATATGAAACTTATATAGAAGGTTTCTGACATAGTGTAGATCCATATTTGTTCAAATCATGATTAGGAGATCAAAGTTTTATATAGGAAAAGATTTAAAATCTTTTTTGCAAGATAAACAAGAGGCCATGGGCCACATACCCACCTGAGCACTGTGGCTAGGAAAAGTTCAGTATTGAAAAGCTTTAATGCATAAGTGGTCCCAACCTACCCCTATAAAGAGGGGGGGGGGGGGGGGGGAGGGTGATTTGAACAAAATTGAATCTACACTTACTAAAGATGCTTACATATTTCTTTGACTAACTGTGACTTTTTTCCCCTACAAGTTTGAACTTTCATTATGGTCCCACGTGCACCCTCCCCCTGGGGGTCATGATTTGAACAAATGTGAATCTACACTATTTGAGGATGCTTCCATATAATATGACCAACCATGGCTGTACTGTTCTTGAAAAGGAGACTTTAAAAAAAAATTCTTATGTATTCCTATGTATAACTTTCATCAATTGTGGCCCCACCCTATCCCTAGGGGGTCATGATTTGAACACACATGAATCTACACTACCTTAAGATACTTCCAAATAGTTAATAACCAATCATGGCTTTGCTGATTTTTCTTATATACTCCAATATAAAACTTTGATCGTCCATTGTGGCCTTGTCTTACCCCCAAGGGTCATGATTCGTACAAATTTGAATCTGCACTACCTGATGATGCTTCCATATAAATATGACCAATCATGGCTTTGCTGTTCTTGAGAAGATTTTTCCTATATACTCCTATGTAAAATTTTGATCGTCCATTGTGACCCCAACCTACCGCCAGGGGTCATGATTTGAACAAACTTAAATCTACACTACCTTAGGATGATTGCACATGAGTTTCATCTTCATCACAATTATACACAAGTGAAGGTTTTTCAAAGGGGATCAAAGTTTTACATCAGAATATAAAAAAAAAATCTTCAAAGTCTTCAAGAACAGCAAGGTCATGATTGTAAATCTTGAAATGCAAGCATCCTGGAGTAGTGCATTAAAATTTGTTCTAGTCATGGCCCCAGGGTATTGGGGGACGGTTAGTATAGGGGATCATACATGTAGCTTTATATACATTGTAATTTATTGGATTAAAGTTTCAATAACCTTTTAAATGTACCAGGATCTCAAGTATTTCCATGTGTTGATTGAGGTCTGCATAAATCAAGACCCCCACCCCTCCCCACTAGGGGGTTCAAATTTTCATGTGAAGAAAGAGGGAATAGTTCGTAAAAATCAGCAGCAGCTGAGCAAATGGACCTATTGTTATTGTCCCTCAGTGGTAAGGCGGGGGGGGGGGGGGGCAAGTTTTGTCATCTGAACAGAGTTTTACATGAATAATCTTTGATCATAATAGCTTGCTTGCCTATGCTTTTGGGTTATGTAAGGAAAAATGATTTTAGCTTCTCAAAGAGATAACAGTTTTTCAGATAATCGCTCTCTCCCCCTTCCCCTTTTACACTATCAAGAACAGTTTTCTTTATGCCTTTCGTATACCGTCAAACCTCATTATTATGAACTAGACTGAACCAAGATTAAACTCAGATATTCAATGATTCGAAATATAAACAGGGTAAAAAACATAAAAGAAGATGATTTGGACTGCCAAAGTACTTCAACATATCTATAGTATATGAGATATCAATATACGAAATAACCAAGTTCAACTGTAATATTGTCTGATTTCAAAGTCAGTGCCCTTGGGTCACAGTCACATTAAACATGGGAGATTATTTGAGCCCTTGCAGTTATGTATCTGCCATATTGACCCTTTTACAGTCTTGAAATCTGAAACAAAATTCTCCAGAGAAAAATGTTCATTTGAGACACAACGACTTTAGCACAACTATTTTTTTATCATGATGACTGAAAAATTTTTGAAAATTATATATCCAAGAAAAAAATGTACAATTCCTATATCAGTAACTGTTGCTCGCATAAAATCTTATTTCCTAAACCTTAACTGTTTAGCAAATGAACACTTGTTCCCATGGACTTTTTTGTTTTTGATTTCAAAACATGTTCTTGTTGATCTCTTAATTATTCGGTTATAATTTCATACAGTTGTCCAATCACAACTTCTTCCATGCATTTAAAACAGAGACAATTTTGATTTATGATTTCTGACATAGGTACATTAAAAAAAATTAAAATCTCATCCATCAGATAGTCATTTGTTTATGGAAGTTGTGAAAGGCTCATATTCTTGACATTTACAAATAACTTCAATTTTAACTAACATGCATGTTTTGCAACTCATGGCATCACTATATTCATGTTTTCTCTCTATTTTCAAAGAATAAAGTCATTCTTGTTGTTGTTTAAAATATCATATCTGAAAATTTTTGGAGATACCATTAAAAAGTAAACATTTGGTTAATTTGTTGTTATTTTTCTTTAACTGAAGCTTAGCAGTAAAATTTGTGGGAAATAACTCTTGGCAACTATTGAATTACATTTCTTCATCTAAGAGTTATCTTTCTTGTTTACAAAAAAATATCTATACATGTGCTGTATTCATTCTTTGATATATATTCATAAATAGTTCTTTTGAATATATATTTAAGTATGACTTGGAAAGTGTACATATCATGTAGTCAAGAATAAAATCATAACTGCTGGATTTAATCTTCTTTTCTTTCTTTCAATACATTTATATAGGACGGGTAAAATTTATGCGGGTCTGAATAGACCTGTCACCCATACCAAAGGGCAAGGTCGTTTCTTGACGCAATGTTATGCAGACAGCTTGAAAACTTGGCAAAATTATTGCACTTGTTCATAAATTTGGAATTTTTATGTGTGCAAAGTGCTTTAAAGGACTGCAATTCACTTCGGATATACTGCTTAAAATATGGTTTAGTGTAATGTATTGGATTATACAAATGTATGGTGTGTGGTGATTGTATCGATGACTTCCCCTGTGTTCATGGGATTTTTGTTCTCGTGAGGTAAAGTGAACTTTTTTTGTTACAGCTATTGAGATAATTGAATCAGGATTTTTACAAAAAATGCCTCCAAAAATTATTAATGATTTTTACGGCTTCAAATTTATATGACTTTACGGAATATAGTTCAGCCACAGTTGCAAACGACAGTGATAAAAAACTGTCGACAGATATTTCATGATTCTGTATTGAGGCTAATACCTTCAATGACTTTGCTACTTGCCGGCTCTTCGTTTTCTGTCTTGGCATTTTTGAATTTTCTTGTATAATAATGGTATATGGATAAAAAATATGTATATAAATATAAGTATAAAACGAAACGGATATCTTCTGACGACAGTAACGCATGCGTAAATAACGTCAACGTGCGCTGCGTTTAACGTCAGTGACGTCATTGACGGAAGGCTACGGAAAATAACGAATAAGTAAAAAATAATATATGATCCCTTGCCGAAGTGGCAGCCATTTTGGCAATGTTAAATCCCCGTAGACTTTGAATTTGCCGCCGTGTCAATACACCGGTTGAACTCGAGGGTTCGGATAAATGGAGGAAAATTGGAAAAAAAATGATCTATCGATCGGACCTAAGTTGAAGGCCAAGGTATTTATATATTTTGAGATATGTTGCAAAAAGTGGTTACAATAGCTTGGTGGGACAGACTATAGCTATATGTATAGCTTGATGTAGCATTATAGCTTGATTTAGCTATATAGCTTTATTAAGCTATTCAGAATAGCTTGATTTAGCTATTTTATCACACTTTTTTTCTTAAATATGTCATTTTCTCCGCATGAACAAAAAGTCGCACCTTGGTGCAGTGATAATATTCAACCTTAAACTCTTCTGTTTGTTTGTTTGTTTGTTTATTGTTTAACGTCCCTCTCGAGAATTTTTCACTCGTGTGGAGACGCTTCTGAAAATAATGCGTGTAAAAATTACTCATCAAATTGCATCTCCTTTAGAGACTTTGTACTCTCAGTTCTAAAAGTTTTGGGGCTATATAAAGCAAATTGATACAGTTACTTCTTCATTGAAATTTTAAAAGAGACCAATTATGGTCAACAAGATAATTGATTGGTAATAATTCAGTACAATGAGAAGCAATCATACTTATCCACGCCTCAACGCACATAAGGTAGTGTACAGTTACTCAAACAATGGAAATTCATCTTTTGCTTAAAATGCTGCAATGTTAGAACTATCTTTGATTTCGGTTGTTTTTTTTTTTTGATAGCCCATAGCACATATATGAATAGTCAAGTACTTGTGACTTTTTGTCTATTTCTTACAAAAAACATTTTTCTGAAAAACTGCACATAATCAAGCTATTTTGAATAGCTTATTAAAGCTATATAGCTTTTTCAAGCTATAAAGCTAAATCAAGAGATTGTGCTGGACCTGTAAAATTACATGTATCAAACAAATATAGGGTATTATTTTTAGTCAAAAACATTTTAGTAATCTGTTCTATCATTTTTCATGTTCATTCAAGTTTCAACATATTACTTTACCTTGCCTGGACGAGTTTGTGAAGTTGTTCTCACAGATTTAATGTGAAATTTTTATTCTCCTAGGTACTAAAGAAAAATATATGGAAGTTGTACTGAAATCGTGATGGCGTGCATGCATGTACTGTTAGAACGTTAATTGCAGAGAGGCTAACTATGGAGAAAGCTATCTCTCTTTCAATTACATGTATCAAACATGAGTCCAACATTACCAATGATAATATTGTGCACTTCACCACCCAGACAAATAAATCACAAACATCTCAAGGATGTAAAGAATCTAATATATCACAACCTTCAAAGATGGAATTTTCAATAAAGAAGGAAGGAAATATAGGTCATGTGACATCATCACCATCTCTAGGTGACAGACTAGTTGCTATAAAGCACATGGAAGATGAACAGATGAGAAAGCAAGTGAAATGTCAGATGGATAATACTGAACCAGAAATGTTAGATGAAGAAGCAATTACTGAAAATACTATAAGCAATTCTGAAAATGGTGAATGTTTTGAAAGAAGCAATGATTTCTACAATCAGATAGCATCAAGGACAAACACTGATGCTAATCCAGAGACAGATGCAGAGAAATATGTAAAAGAGGGTCTTACCATAATAAAGTTGGAGGATCTCATGCATGTTAAAACAGAGAACTGTTTTGATTATAATTTAAATAGACAAACTACAGGGATGGATAATACAAATTCTATGATATCCTCACCAACTCTCAGTGATGGAATTGTTTCTATAAAGCACACAGCAGGTGGACAAAAGACAAAGCAAGGAGGATTTCAGATGGATCTTACTCTACCAGGAATGTTAGGAGAAAAGGAAATTAAGTCTGAAAATAGTATTGGTGAGTCTGAAATTGATGAATGTTTTGAAAGAAACAAAGATTTTAAAAATCAGAAAGAGTCAAGGACAAACACTGTTGCCAATACAGAAGGATATGCAGAAAAAGATTTAAAAGAACGATTTACCATTATAAAGTGGAAGGAGCCAATGCATGATAATAAAAAAGAGAACTGTTTTGATGACAAGATAAACGGACAAACCACAGGAATGGATAATCCAAATTCTATGATATCCTTACCCTCTCTTGGTGATGAAGTTGTTACTATAAAACACAAGACAGATGAACAGGAGAAAAGGGTAGAAAAATATCTAGGTCAGATGTATAATACTCAGCAGGGAGTGTTAGAGGAAAAGGGGATAAAGTCTGAAAATAGTATTAGTGATTCTGAAAGAGGTGAATGTTTTGAAAGAAGCATTGTTTTCTATAATCAGAAAGAGTCAAGGGAAAACAATGATGTAAATTCAGAGACAGCTGTAGAGAAAAATCTACAAGAAGGTTTTACCATAATAAAGTGGGAGGGATGCAGGTATGATAAAACAGAAAAAGACAATTTCATAAAACCAACCACAGGGATAGATGATACAAATTCTGTGAACATGGACACCAATAATGACTCAAATTTAACAGTTGTAAAACATAGCTCACTCAAAGCAAAAGATCCACAGATCAAAGATAATGGTCAGAAAAGACTTCCCGCATCTTGTATATTATCAGGAAAACAACCCGTTGTGGTGTTGAAGAGATTAAAAATGAAAGGTGTCACTTATAACTGTAATTATTCTGATACTACAGGAAAAAATCCATGTGATAAGTTTAGCAGCAAAGGAAAAACGGACAGGAGAGAAGATGAAGAAATATTTATTGAAGCATCAGAACAGGGAATGTTCTTAAGACATAATTCTGACACTGAAGCACCTTCTGCCGAGACAAGCTCTTCTGTGAAGGAGGAAATTGAAGACGCAGGGACAGACCAGTGTGAGTTTGACCTTAGTCAAGAAATGAAAGATGATATCCAAAGTGCCATTCAAACCAACATCGAAGCAATGGTGATTTCTAATCAGACTAGTAATGGTGAAGGATTCTCCTATGTTTATCCATTTGCTTGTGGACAGTGCAATTACACTGCAAAATTACAGCATCATTTGAAAAACCACATGAAGATACATTCAACTGAGCGCCCCTTTGTATGTGAGATTTGTGGAAAAGGGTTTAAGCATGCTCATCACTTAAATGGACACAAGCGAACTCACTCGGGTGAGCGCCCTTACTCATGTGAGGAATGTGGACGAGATTTCACTCAGATAAGCAATTTACTCCGACACCAGAAAACGCATCAAGGACTTCCAGAATCTCCACGCCATAAATGCTTAAAATGTGACACGAGTTTCTCCACCGCATATTCACTAAAACGTCATCAAGACGTACACGAAAATTTAAAAGAGAAAGTTAAAACTATGAAGAACCATAAAGGCAAGAAGAAGAAATGTACGTATAATCCTCGCATTGATGATACAAGGAGAGAGTTCGAGTGCGATGTTTGTGGGCGTCGGTTCCGCAGGAAGGAACATGTGATGCGACACATGTTGACACACACCGGGGAGTCTGCCGTGCACATTTATTCATGTGAAGTATGTGAAAAAAAATGTGGTAGCAAGCGGGCTCTTGAAAATCATCTTAAAGTCCACACAGGGGATGATATTGAGATTCATTCCCAGCCTTCATCGGATGAATCGGATTCTGAGGAAGAATTTGAATGTGCCTAATTTACCTAAAAGTGTTATGTGATAAAAATATAAGTAATTTATGTATAGATGTTGAATACATGCATATTAGGCAATTTTTTTTAAGGTTTTAAGTATCAGCAATTTATTAGTAATTGTTGGATTCATTTAATGTGTACAAAATATTATCAAAGGTAATCAAGTACAAACTGTGCATGTGTTTTGGGTTTTTTTCCATGGAGAGTTTGATTTTTTGTATTTTGATGTTGCCATTTCTTAATTCTTTTGTCATTCTTTGATAGTCATCTGACCAGATACAATATAATGATCATTATATTGGAAAGGGCTTTGATATTATTGTTTATGTTAAAATAAATTTCAGCTTTTAAGTGAATCACCTATAGTTATTGAAGGAATAAATTTTCTTGTTTTTGATTAAATTCATCTTTATCAAGGTTGTTTCTTTCGAGAATTTTATGCAACAATAAATTATTTGAACTTACAATACAGGATGAGCTAATGTTATATCCTTGTCATCAATGTCTGCATCCAAGTTTAAAGTTTTAGGAGTAACTCCAGGAAACAAGAAGTCCAACCAGTACTTAACATGCATGGATGATGCATCTAGGGATGCACAGTACCTGACCTGCTTCAGAAGCTGCATCTGACCTATATTTTCCAGATGAGTGAACAGGCAATATTTTTTGGAGCAGGTTCATTTTCAAGTATCAGTAAGCCCTACCTAACCAAACTTACACGGATGATGCATACATATACGGATGCAGGCTACCTTTGGTTGTTGCTTGGTGAGTCTCGTATAATCTTCAATTTACCTGTTGGTGACATGTAAAACAGGATTGATATGTTAGAAAATTATCATTTAGGAAGATAAGCATTAACAAGCAGACAAATGGCAAATACTGTACTTATCTCGTAATCTGGACACTGCTGGTTCTAAAGAAATTTGCTAGATGTATAGGCTATGTTCTGGCAAAAAACATTTTATACAATTCACTAACAGGGACTAAAAATTTTCATAATAGACAAGATTTCGGAATACACAACATCCAGATTAGAAAAGTTTTACTGTATTGCTAGCACTCAAATCAGAATACACAATATTCAGATCTGTAATGCTGGTCTGGAGTTATCATCAGATATCAATACATATAGGGCTCATGGAGGGTGTTACGCTCAACTGGGGATGCTTACTCCTCCTATGCACCTGATCACACCTCTGGAATTTCTGGGGGGGGGGGGGGGGTCCATCTTTTATGCCCTGTGTCACAGATTTGTATTATTTGTAGTTGTTTGTTTTCTTCACGTTTTTCACCAACTACACGGCTACTATCAATCCTCATCTGATGGCATTAAAATACTTCAACATAAATGTTAATTGTAACAGAAAATGAACATCCTTTTTAGGCTGATCCCATGTTAAATTTGTGCAATATAAAATTAGTTAATTGCAGTCGCAATTCTTTACATTGATTATAAACTATACTCATAAACAGCTCTGAGGTAAATGGTAAATATAATTATATGTGTATATGAAACTAAATATGGAAGCCCAAAGATGGCTAAGTACAGAAAAAAAAGTCTGCCAGCTGCAAATTAATAATTTTTTGCCTCTTGTTTTATCTTCATCTCTTTCACCCTTGTAGCAAGTGGGCGAATTCAAAGAAATACAATTGTGTCTTAGGCGAATTCAAAAACGGGACAAAATTGAGAAAGGGCGAAAATAACACAGAGGTGAAAATAACCCTATATAAAAAAAGTGATAAAATGATATGCTGGTTGCCATTTGCCGAAACAAGTATCTGATGGCCATTTACAGAACCTAAGCAGTAACCTGATGGAGACTCTAGCAGCCACCAGGAAAAATATCTGGCCTGAGACACCAATTTAGAATCACCTGACAAAAATTTGTTCACCCTGGCACCTTTGGCCTTCCTTATTTATATAACTTAACACTAAACAAAATACAATACTTCTTTTCTACATTATTTTATTTACACACTGTACAAAAAAAAAAATGGAAAGTCAAAAGGTTTTATCCACTGAGGTCTTTGAAGTAAGCCACAACTGAGTTTAATTTCTCTGGTACTGTTTCAGGTAAATCTGCAAGTGTTTTGAAGACAGTGTTCACACCTACAACGAGAAAATATAAACTTGATTCTGAGAAAAAGAGTAAAATAGTTCATGTACATACAGTAGAATCAATAAAAAAGAGAAATGTTGACAAGTGAGAAAAAATATAAGGGCTGTAAAAGGACAGAATTGTTTATACTGTGACCATTTCTAAATGCAGTAAAAACTGTTTAATCAGAACCTCTGCAATCTGGTTCACTGCTTTGAATTCTGGGGGGGGGGGGGGGGATAGAGTCATTTTGACATGTGTAAGTGATAGACTATTAATAACACCATTATGAGAGATTAGGCTAAGATAAATAAATAGTGTGTTTCCCAACCTGAGACAAAATAGGGTAGGTAGGTAGGAAGGGAAGACATTTTAATTTAAAATTTTATTGGCAAGCACGCTACAATTTTTCCCTGGGGAAATCGCTGTCAAAACATTTCTGATTAATTTGTATAGGAAATGCATTTTCTGAAACACAGAAGTGATTGAGATTAGGATTTCTAATAGTGAAACTGGAATAGTTTACTTCTGGAAAAATATCGCAGATAAATTTTTCAGGGTCAGCTCATATATTTTAGGGTCGGTCGGGGAACCGGAAACACACAATTTATTTATCTAGGCCTTATTGATATAAGTATGAGGTTTTGATAATGTTATTTCTACACTTACAGGCATTATATTGTGATGGTTGTTGAGGTTTGATTTCTGGAGTGACTTCTTTCTTCACTGATTTTTGTGCAACAATCTGTTGGGACAAAAAATAGTCAAAAATGTAGTAAAATAGAAATGATAATCCCTTTTCATATATAGATCTTGTAGTTAAGAGTATTAAAAAAAGATCAATATTATTTTCAGTCCAAATATGACAAAAACCTTGCATACATAATTATATATATATATATATATATATATATATATATATATATATATATATATATATACACTGTCTGAAGGATTATTTTCCACCTGTGTTATTATTTCCTTGTGTGAGTCCTTGAGGCGATGCTGTTATTGCATTCAATATGCAATCATACGGTGGTATCATATAAATATTTTAATCAATCTAATTAAAATTAGATGTTCCGAATCCGCTACCGCTTCTCAAACATCTAACAACATCCCATTCGGGGTCACGTCAGAGCGACCTTTCATATATATATATATGTATATAAATTCATATATAGCATGGTCTTTACCATGCATATTTTGTTTACTACGAAACCTCTCGGGCGTTTCGGTTTGGCAGTAAAAAAAAGAAACGCATCCGAACTATAAGCCAAGATTTTGACGACGGCGATTTCATTGGGTAATCGAAAGGTCGCTCTGACGTGACCCCGAATGGGATGTTGTTAGATGTTTGAGAAGCGATAGCGGATTCGGAACATCTAATTTTAATTAGATTGTATTTTAATCAGTATATAGCCCTAAGGTGGCAGTAATATTTCACTCTGTATGCAGCCTTCAGTGTTATTGTCATTTTGCTGCCTTAAGGTGATAATATTATTTCACTTCATATGCAATCTTAAGATGGTACTATTTCACTATGCTCCTAAGGTGGTATTGTTTAGGTGGTGTTGATTAGTACAAACCTTCTTTGTTGTTGTTGGTTTCTCTACAGTAGCTGGTAACCACTCATCCAGTGTCCTAGATTTCAGACGTTTGTACGCCTCGTTACTCTCTTTACTGTTTCCCCATAATCCTTCCTTCACAGTTAAATACACTGCTCCACCAGCAACTCCAAGCTTCGCAGTCGCCCTGTGAATTAACAATAAAAACTTCAATCTGAAAACTTGAACATGTACATACTGCACATGCTGCACTAAAGACAACTACAATAGATAGGAAGTCACATGAGAAACTCAAACACAAAGAAAAAGTTTTGGGGTAGTGTAGATTCTAAATTGTTAAAATCATGACCCCCCAGGAGAGGGCGGGGCCACAATAGAGAATCCAAGTTTTACATTGAAAAATATAAAAAAAAATCTTTAAAAATCTTCTTCTCAAGAACCACTGGGCCAGAAAAGCTGAAACATTAAGATCTATATCATGGGTTGGATGCATAGTCTCCATTAAAAATAATTTCAAATTTCACTCTCAAAAGATTGTATGAGAAAATAAAATGAGAATCAAATGCATACCACAATCAGCTGCTATCGTTCGAAATTCCTCTGTATGTCAAAATGATGCAACTTCTTAATTAATATTTACAATAGGCTTACAGCTGAATTAATTTAAACATGTTAATCAAACATATATTACTGAACTAACAAAACATTTCTTTTGTTTTATCCTCCTCTACAAAGATATATACCGCTGTAAAATGACTATCAACTCACTTTGCAAGTGTCACAGCCATGACCTTCACCTTTGGTATTCTTTGATCCTTAAGAAGTAAATCGAACCAAAAGTAATTCGTAATAACAAACTGATTAACAACCTGTCATTCTGACGTCTTTGGGAATGTTTGGTTTAGACTAGGATTTGTTCTAAAAATCATCTCTATAGATAATGATGGAAATTGTTCAGAAACGTGATAGCAGACCAAATCAGAACTTTACGGAAGTTTCTGGTCCTAGCGTATTCCCTCTTCTTTATAGATACGAATGAAAACAACTTCCTGTGTCAACGTCGCTTCCGGGTGAAAGTTACAACCAGACGGGCTTTTTGCACTGTTGTCCATATTTTGTAATTTGGCGACTCAAACCAAATCAATCATGGTGGACTACGGTTCTGGACCAGTGAAAGAGAGCATCGACAACACGGTGTTTATAATTCCAGGGATCATTGTCATATGCTTAGTCTGTGAGTGCAATAATATTCCTAATTTTTTCTGAACAGCTGAAGACTGGGCACAATATGGTCTATGCCGTGTAATTCTCTCCCCCGATGAAGAATATATTTTAACTGGTTTTGATATGGTCACGGTATTGAAGGTTTAAAATTTCTTTTACCAAAAGGTATTGTGATGTAAGGGAGTGTGAAAAAAATCAGCAGTACATATGTTGGTGTAATAAATAATTGTAAAATCATATAATGCAATGCTAAAAGAATTATTTATATGCAGATATAATTAATTTTAAGCATACATATTTGAACTTTGTAAATTTGGAACCTAAGGACATATGTACTACCAGGACGTTTATGTTCCCGACACTACTAAAGGGGGGTTGGGGGTGCACAGCTATTCAAATTCTGTTATATCAACTTATACTGGGAGTAGTTAAGCATTTCTTTCATAGTTTCAAGGCTTTCAAAAAGATTAGTAACAGGCAATGCTATTTCAAAAATAGGGGGTACCTTATGGAAGCAATTGTAACTAAATATGTTATCAAATTTTTTTCCAACGAATGTTTTGGACGGTACATAATTACTTTCGTAATTTCAGCCCGGTAAAAGTACCGGGTACCAGCACATTTTGAAAGGCCTTTTGTAGTTTTGCATTAAAATTGTTATCAACCTTTTCAACCGTTATGAAAAATTTCCGAGTTCGTATGTTTTTTGTTTACATTTCAATTAAGAAATAAAACAATTATACTTCACTGTATAAATGAGTACCGTACATTTCAGCTTTCTTTGCCTACAAGCTGTTCAAAAGTTTAAGAGAGAAAGAAAAAGCAAAGGAAGAAAAGAAGAAAATGAAGCAACAAAGAAAAGAAAAGGAACAACAAAAGAGACAACAAAAGAAGAAATTATGATTCACTCAAACTAGGAGACATTTTTATTATCAGCAGCTAAATTATTTTTTTGTGATGTGACATTTTCTTTCTGGATGTACATGGAAGAGAAATAAAAGTTTGAATGAATAAAAGAGGAACATAAGGAAATCAACAGAAATCATGCATTAAAAGAAGACTGAAGATTTATTGTTATCATGGAAACATATATCCCACCTCTATTGCCTGTCATATATAGATATAAAAGTTTATAGAAGTATATCCATACTCATGGATATTATAAGAACTTCAGTGGGTTTTTTTTCCTTTTTTCTTTTTTCTTTTTGCTTAATGTCTGAGATTTCAATATCATTTTCTTCCTGTTATTAAAAAAAAAAATACAAAACTGTACTTGTACCTAATCCGAGTTCAAAATTGTTAAATAAAAACTAGATAATGCAGAGCAATGCTACATGAATTGGTCATTTTGAAAATAATATTGGACTGATGATCAGCAGCATTTAAACTTCTCTAGTTATTTTTTTTGGGGGGGGGGGGGGGGGGGGAGTTAATTCTTATCAATAAAACCAATTATTTTTTAAATGATATTATCTTATGTGCCCATTTTTGCTGGTAGCATGCTTGTTATGTCTCTTGTTTTTTAAAGACCATAAATGCTGTGCATTTACATGTAATGGAATACTTGGTTGAACACAAGATCATGTTATTATATTTATAAATTAAGCAGTAGACTAAAAAACAATATTGGTTGTGCAAAGTGTGTTAATGCATTCATTAATAACCAGATAAATACATGTTTCTGGCATTACTTTTAAAACTTTATTACATTACATTAATATGTTGAAATGATTGTTTGCATATATTTGTTATAATTTTTTTTAGCAATAATGGGGCAGTTGGAAAAATGCATGATTGTACAGTTTAAATCTCTGTTTTAACCATATCAGTTTGCTTTTACATGTAGTTATATGCTTTCTCCCAAAGTAATTTTTTTTTTTTTTTGGAGAATTGAGAACCATTCAGCTTTTTGTTATGGGGTGGAGTTAGCGTATATCTATAGATAAATATAGATGTCTTGTGTGAGTACATTCCTTCTGTAATATTAAATGATAAAAACATATGTATATATATGTTTATTCATGTTTACGTACATGTTCCTTATTTACACTGATTATCCTAGAAGTGAAACATTACTTAATGCCAAAACATAAAGTTGCATTAAAGATATAAAAAAAATCATTTTTTTAAATCGCTTGCCTTTGCTGAATGCACAATTTAACTTCAATGTAATTTCAGTGATTCATCTAACATATATAGTGAGTCCAGTATTTATCCTAAGTGTTCAGTTTGTTAGTGTTCAAGACACTGAAAGTCAAATGTAGATTTTTTTTTATTGGTTAAAAAAGAATAACAAATTTTAAGCACTTCAAGTTCATTGCAATACTGTAGATGACTTAATTTTTGCGACATCTTATTTTAGCGAGATGGTATTTGGTATTTATAAGCGAGATGAAATTTTCACTAACAAGTCTTGCGTAATTATGCGAAAATAAAGTTCTCATGAATAAAAAGTGATTTACAATATTGAATTCAAAGGATTATGGGAAAAATTTGTGGATAAAATATTACTGTACATTTAACCTCATTATATAAACTCCATGGGGTGAAGAAAAAACAGAGAGATATCTGAGGATTTGAGACATTTGAGTTTAAATACATAAGGATGTGGTTGGGACTTTTAACTTGATGTGATATATATCCATGGTATTCGAGATACTGATATTTGAGATGCTGAAGTTCAAGTGTATTTACTTTTTGAAAAGTGTCTGGAAGATTCCTTTATATTGGTGAAATTTATCAGTCATGAATATTTGTTGAAACAATGTAGGTGAAAATCCAATCTGCTTTAAAAACTGCATTTGTCCATAACTGATTCTGCAACAAGTTTTGGGCAAAAAGAAGGTAAAATATGAAATTAACGATAATCTAAGTGTTGATATATGCATGAAAAATGGTACATATTATATATCAAAATTAATTTTGTTCAGAAAAGGACACCATGACATATGAAATTCTGAAATAACCACTTAACTCTTTATGTTTTGTGCATCTGATAAGTCTTTGGTTTATTTTCTATCAAATATGTTAATTTTAAATTATTCTTTTGTAATTTGTTTTTGTAATTAGATAATGCTCCAATAATTGTATATTCCTCAGAATCACTCATTTTTTGTTAGAAGTATTACACAGTGCAATTTTTTGTTTTACTATTCTGTTGTAAATTTTCTTTTCAAAATTTTATTTTTGTTCTACAAGCTACTACATGTTAACATTTTTTTTTTTGGTTCTTTTCTGAGTGAAGCTGAAGCTAACATGATTATATACTATAAATATTACTTCAGTTTTATAGGAAGAAAAGAAGTAGGGAGACATGTCATCTTTTATAGGAAATATGCATTAGAATTAACCTCTTTCCAAGACTATTTAGTGTAGAAAATGGAGCTAAAACTGAAATTTTAAGCGAATTTGTTATATTCAACAGTAGTTGAGGATGAAAAGGAAATTAATTTACCAGTATTGTTTATGTCCCTAATCATTGGGGGGGGGGGGGGAGGGGGGGTGGTATTTCCCCGTAAATTTGAATGTGTTCTACGTTTGAATTATAAAAAAGAAATCTTGGCAAGTGTAGATTTAATAAGGTCACAAGTGAGCAAAATTAAAATAGGACATAATAATTAACGAGAAAATTGTTCATTTGAAACTTTTTATTTTACATACATGGACATGGATATAAGTTCATTAATAGATTTTAATTTAGTAACAGAAAAAATATATACATGTATTGTTATATTTCTTCATGATGTTTTGGAAATTTAAAGAAGGAAAATAATTAAAAATATCTTTAGTAATTTTTTTTAAGAAGTGTTTTAAATATGTAAAATAAAATGATTTTAGACTTTAAATGAACTAAAAATTGTCATTTTTGAAGTGTAATTAGATTTTAAAGCAAAACTTGTTATTCAAACCGTTACCATTGCTTATTCAGACGGACAATATTGTGTGATTTTTGTTAATTTCTTCTATAACAATTTTCTTCAATAGAAAAAGAAGCCCAAATGATAGACAAATGACAATTTTATTCACTAGTTTTTCATTACTTTTGTTTTAAAATCAAAAGCAGTAGTATTGGTATTTTGTTAGTATTAAAATTTACAGAGGTGTCAGTCTATCTTTTATAAAATACCTGGTCATTTTTTTTTCTTGAATTGCTATTGTATTTTGCAAAAAGATCTATGAATGTTGTATGTACTTAATATATCATTATACAAATGTGTAGTAAGTTAACATGTTCTTAGAATTGAGAAGATACAAGAAATAAAATTGTTTTATTTTATTAGTAATAAAAAGTGTTTTATTACATCTTATTTTTGATCTCTCTTGCTTGCAAGTACATGTACATACAGGTACTTGATTTTAATCAGCAAGTATTGATTTTATTTATTAAACATAGGTAATCAGAGATTACAGAGCTCATCTCAGTGAATGTTGTCTTTAAGTAAGGCAAAGTCCCACACTAATAATCTAGTAGTGTGCATCCCTAGATGTAACATTTATGCAATTTTGGTCTGATAGGGTTTGCAGTTACTTGGTGATGGACTTACCTAAAACTTTAAACTAGTCACTCATCCAGAAAATGTAAGTCAAATCCAGCATCTGAAGCAAGTTTGAGAGTGTCCATCCCTTGGTGCATCGTCCATGCAAGTTTGGTTCAGATAGGCCTTATAGTTTCTTGGCAATAGACCTGCTTCAAAAGACTTTAACCTGGTCACTCATCTGGAAAATGAAGGTCAGATCCAGCATCCGAAGCAAGTCCAGTAGTGTGCATCCTTAGATGTATCATCCATGCAAGTTTGGTTAACATAGGACTTACGCATTTAACCTGGTCAATCATCTGCTCTTAAAACTTTAACCTGCTCCAAAAACATTAACCTGGTCATTCTTAAGCTGAAATTGCAGCATTCTCCATGAACCTCTGATTAATATAGTGCATAGAAGTAGTTGAACAGAAATTTGCTCAAAAACTCTAATCTGGGACACCGAAGCCGATGGTATTACATAAGCTCCCCCAACTTCATTGAGGTGAGCTAAAAAGGCAGAAGATCAGCACAATTTGTATCATTCAATTATGAAGTTACTCCATGCAACTGTAATGGTTTTGGTCATGGATATTTGCCTGGGTAACTTGATAGGTAGAGCACCTGACTGCTGATGCAGGGGTCCATGATCTGATTCCCGATCCAGTCATACCCGGTACATTTTCTCCTTTCCCGTTAATAATTTGGTGCCCCTGACCACCTCTGGACCTGCAGGTGAAAGTTCTGCCATGGGCAAAAGAACTTGGGTTGGTTAAATTTTGAGGGGGAAGACAATTTATAGAGGGAGGAATAAAATAGTTTGGGTCATGGATATTAGCCTGGGTAGCTGGGTAGAGCACCTGACCCAGGGTCCTGGGTTTGATTCCCAAACCAATCAAACATTTTCTCCTTTCCCATTATACATCTTTATGTAAAGGTTATAGGCCGAAAACTGTTCATTCTATGAGAAGAAAGAACTGTTGGAGGGCCGTTAAATTTGGTTCAAATTTGTCAGAAAATTCTTTAGAAGGCTATAAAAATTTGAAAAGTTCGAGTTGAAACTAATGTCAGCTCGACACTCTTATTATTATTCAAAAAGAAAAGTTTATTTTTAATTGGCTCAGATAAATGCATTTCCATCCTATATACATGTACTTATAGAGTGTATGAATTCATTATTTTCATATTTATAATGAAGTTACTGTATCAGTGTACCATATTTAACATGCAATTTTGACTTTCTTCCTTAGGTCTATATATGCATAATTCACAGTAAATTCAATACGACAATACTCTTTTATTTCTTAGTTTGGTAGAAAATATAGGTTTATAGCTTATCTACCTCATCAGAGTCACTTGGGTGATATATTGCTATATATCCATTCTCATCTATTACCATGCTTTGAATCCTGAATGAATCAACATACATTACATGTGCATGTAAAAGGCTATGCCATCAAACTGCCATCACAAACACACAAATGCAGAAATTCAATATATTATTTATTCTTCACATTTTTGCTTTCAACATATTTCTAGAAAGCTTTCATTTTCACAATAAATGGTATAAAACAAACTCTTCAAATTCCCTTCAACATACCTTATACTAACTGCTGCAAGATCTTTAAATGTATGTATCACAGATGGACCTAATATAGTTTTCTTTTAAATGCATCTTGAATAACATCTCTTTTTTTTCATATTTGCTCGATCCAATTTAATCTCCCTTCGTGTACATTCTCCATGTATAACAATTTCTGAAACATTTTAAGTATATTCATACAGCAGTTATGATGAAATGCATTGGTCTATTTTTACAATTATAACCAAGTTTTTCTTTGCCACAGTTACATGTACATTTAAACAGGTATCTTACTCAACATATCTCATCTTCTAATTCACAGAATTACATATATTGTCAAAAAATTAAACAAAGATCTGCACATGGCAACAAGGTCCACTTTTTATTATGTCAGTGCACTGATACCTGCATATTTGAACCAAAATTTACGAGAATGACAGATTTTTTTTTAAAACAAGAATCTAAATCCACCAAATTTGATGCACAGAATTAAAATTAAAGTAAAATTCATACGTATTGTAAAGAAAATTTATGTTTCTGTTTTAATTTTTTTTATGTTGGAAATATAAAAGAATCTTCCTTCAATCCTACCTTGTACATGTACAACATAAAAACTTTTTTTATTCAAAATCTATCAAGATAGCTTTCTTTTTTTTTTAATTAAATGAAAAACAATGTATGTTCCTAAAGAAACTACTGAATGGTGAAATCAAAAGTTCCTGAAAAAATCTGTTCCCTCCTTGATTTTGCCTTTAGTCATCCTCAATGGGCAAATTTCAGATAGATAAATTGAAATCCTATACATAACACTTAATCAGAGACTAGTCTAAGGAATTAGAGACTGATTGAACTAATTATTTTCAACAAAAACGAAAACAATATGTCATTTTGACAAAATACTTTAAAAAAACATCCTTATTATTATATTAAACGATAAATTCAATTATTGAAAAAATTGTACATGACATACAGAAAGTTTCACAAACATACATGTATGTATTGGGTTTCAAATTTCAAATTTTAGTTAACAATTTGTGAAAAAGATCATTAAGTTGGTATCCACATCTAACATGCACAAAAGTTGCTTTAAGTTTTAGCTTTACCATTCTATAGTTCATACTACCTTGAAATAAAACACAGTTTCATTCTCAAATGCCATTACCACATAGACATGTACATTGTGCAGAATCCATAATTTAAATAAAGAATTTAAATAAAAAATGATTTTATCTACATGTGCTTCAAAGGCAGATCAAAACTGACACAATATCCTACTGCTGAAATAAAAAGAAAGAGCAGACACAAAAAAAAGAGATGAATTTAAGGTCTTAAAATCAACAAATCATGTAATGAAAAAGAAATTTCATCACATTTTCAAAAAGATTTAAACAATTTAACATTCACACACAACACACATTTTTACATCTTTATACAGTAATTTTTTGAATTCCTTTAAAATAATCAAACATCACTCCCACCCTCCCCATTTTTCATCATTAATGAGATGCACATTGAACTCTTTGACCCCCGTGCATGTCATCATCGTCATCATCCTCGTAAGCCTCTCGTCGACGCTGATGTTCATATTCCTCGGGATTAAACTCCGTCAAATCATGTTCCTCGGCACCATCTGGAATTATGGGTTCTTTACGCGGTGGCAATATTTTTTCCAACTCTGGAATTTTTTCAATTTTCATGTTTTTGGGAAATTTCACTTCAAATTTAATAATCAGTCGTCCCTTTTCGAATGGGTTTTTGTACATGGGCATTCCTTCATTCATTACACACTTGAGATCACTGGTTTTCACAACTTCACCTAAAAAGATACCAGAAAGCACAAATAACTACATGTAATATATAAATAAATGGACTCATTACAGTTAACTCAAAAAGGGAATGTTATCTTGACCCTTATTTTCGATATGTGTACATACAAGTATATCTTCAAAAATTTAATTAAGTTATTGTTGCCTAATGGGAAATGGACCAAATCCATTGCCACAGACAATTACTGTTGTCAAAAGGCAAATGCACACAATTCAGAACCATACACAATTAGCTTTGCCAATACGTTCTATTTCCACTATGGAAGAGTTATACTTCTAAGTGCGCTCTTTTGTGAAAAAGTTGGAAAATATACAAATCTCGCGGGATTTCTGGGACAAACGTAACATAAACATGTGAACAATATGTTGAATGTCGATGAACAATTCCTAAGAAAATGCAAATGAAATATTTTATTGTTGTGGACTTTATATACATCAAGAGTAGGAATGACAACGATATCAATTTATATCTATTGTTGATCTTATGTATTTATCATATGGTACATCTAAATACAATACACATGCCTCGGAAATGTCGTATTTTTTATTAATGGATGATAAATTTAGGGTTCCTGCTCTCTTACATATGTCTTTTAGTTCTTCTATTCTTTAATTGGAAAGACAAATACATTTAACATTTAAAACTGGATTGAGATTGGCATGTTTTGTATTATCCGCAACCAGGGCTCGACATTAACGCTTGTCCGGTACCAGTGAAAAAAAATTACGGACAAGTGAATATTGCTGGGCACTTGTCCGATTAGACAAGTGCATTTTAATATAAAGAAGTCTTCAAATAATAAAAAGAACGACTATTGAAAGTTCATCGGTAAAGACGTAAGCAGTACATAAAAAAACGAACTTCGATCCCGATATGGATCGCTATGTAATTGAGTTCACACTCGATCTGGATCGAAGTTCACTAATTGCATACTACTGCAAAGGAGGGCATGAAGTTACGTCGAGTTATGAAGTTTAGGTTCTGTTTGATTTTTGTGAACATTTATGTTGTTGTCAGGATAGAAAGTCTAGATAAAAGTTTGTTTTTATGTGTTTGTTGTATTTATCAATAACATCATGAATGAATCACATGTAATGGACTTTATATTAGTTTTCAAGTTGACAGTATTGTATCTTTATTGAACAAATTTCGGACCAGTGAAGTTGAAGTTCGGACAAGTAAATGTCTTGGTCACTTGCCCGATTGGACAAGTAGGGAAAAAAATTAATGTCGAGCCCTGGCAACGTCATGCTGTCCCAGTCAGACGACCAAACACGCCTCTAATTTTGAAGAGTTCACCAATGGAAATAGAACGTATTGGCAAATGCATCCAATCTAGTGTCACACACAATTACTACATGTATATTGCCTGTTGGCAAAAGTATCCAATCCATTACCACACACAATTACTATTGCCGATCGGTAAATGCATCTAATCCAGCGCCTACACACAAGTACCACTACATTACATACCAGGTATAGTGGAAATGACAAGGGTTCTTTTGTCCAGTGTTGTGATTGTCCTATGGAAGCCACACAGTGCCTCCACCAATTCAAGCTCCATGGTCATCACCAGGTCTTGTCCCCGCCGCTGGAAGACGTCGTGCGGTTTCTCGTCCAGAACAATGATGATGTCACCCGGCTCTAATCCTGGCTCTTGGTCCCCTTCTCCGGCAAACCGAATATTCTCACCGTCTTTCATACCTACAAAATTTTTACATTATGATAACTTTTAAAAAATATTTCTTGATACTGATACAGATAAATTTTTGCCCAATTTTATTTTTTCCCTGGCGAAGGACTGTAGAAAAGGAGATGAGAGACCACAAACTAACTTGGGAAGAACTGGAAAAAAATGCTCAAGATAGAGAGAGGTGGAAAAATCTAGTCCTTGTCCTATGTGCCCACTAAGACTAGGTAGGTGGGTAGGTAGGTAGGTATTAAAACATTCAACTCAACAATATTGAAAATCAAAATCTTGACTTAAGTCAGTCTCAGTGTATGATCTTGGGACCAGATCGACAGAAACCTTTGTACTGTGTATGAACTTTGAACACAGTGTTATCCCATGAAGTGGCATGAACCTTACAATCATTTCTCACTGACATTAAGGCAGGGTCTTTCTACATTCTCAGGTATTAAGCAACCTTTCTGCCAAGTGGGAATAAGAAAGGGAGGAGGGTTACACTAACACTTATATCCCCCTTCCAGGGCTTTCAAAAACAGTAGAAACAGGGGTACTTGTTTCAAAAATGGGAGGTTGGAACCCTGTGGAAGCGATTTTTAATTTAATACTAACAGTGTATGTTATTTAATTTTTCTCCAACAAATATTTTTGCCAGAACATTCATAATTTCAATCGGTTAAAGTACCAGGTACCGGCATATTTTGAAAGGCCTCCACTACCTGAGGGGGGAGGGCATACAATAACACTTATATCCCCCTACCTTTATCAATATGAACCTCTAGAATCTTCCTCTCTCTGTTGACCTTTTTTCCGAGACAGGTTTTACACCGGTGTTTAGGATTGATATTTTCTCCTTTACCGGAACACTCATTGCAGACCGTCTGGATCTGTTGAACCATTCCCGGTCCTAACTGGTGAATCTTGATCTGCATTCCGGTTCCTTTGCAGTTTGTGCACTTCTGTACAGCACCCTCTTTACCACCACGACCTGAAAAATATCGCATTCAGGAATATTTTTCTGTTTTAAGAATTGCAAATACGTTTTTCATCAAGTCTGCCTAACTGGTACAAATAAAAGTTAAATGCTATCCTTTGTCAAATAGATAGTGAATACTTTTATATACTGTAGCGGGAAAGTCCTTTTCCCAGTAGCGCTGCCACCAGCTGATTATCTCCCATCAGCAAGGAAACTCAAATATGAACCTCTTATAAAAAAAATTTTAAAAAAATGACCTGACCTATTCAACTCTCAATACTTTTTCTCTGACCCTGACCATCACCAACACCTGAACAGAAGTCTTAAAGACTTGTAAATGACACACAATTTCATAAAGTTAACAAATTTATTCATTCAAATCAATATAACAAGCAAAATATAAAACGATGCGGCTGAGGACTTCACTCGTGTGCGTAAAATTGTTACTCAAAACCGACACGAAGATGAGATCGACTGATATCATAGCACAATTAAAAGGGAACAACTCGGGATAACTCAATGTGACAAAACAAGAAGGTCAATCACTTCTCATATAAAAATTAAAAGCTAAACTCATCTGAGGTTATCACTCATGTGATGAGTTTCTTATCAGTAATTAGAAATAAATAAGCTATAGAATTCTCAGGAGAAAATCACCCTTAAGAATCTAAAAGTTCCTAATAAAATTTCTCTGAGGAAAATCACTCTTGAGAAATACCCAAAGTCTTCATACAACAGTAATTAAATTAATTATCAATTACAATGATCACTTGAGACAATCATCAAGTTATGTTTTCAACAAAGACTTTTCTAAAATATAATTTCTCTCACAAATAATTAAAAAGAGCCTAATTTTTGATATCAGATAGACCAACTTTCCAATAAAGTTAAAAATTAAATAACTCAGTAAAATTCTACCAAATCTAGTTTGCTATCAAATCTCAACTGATCAAAGTCTCAAACAAATCCCTAAAATTAGCCAAATAAATTACCAAAATATTTTTCTACTTCTGAAAACTCAATAAAACAACTTTCCATAAATAAAATTCAATAAGATTCCTTTCAAAAATTAAGATGTAGCCTAAACAATAACAAAATAAAATAAAAATGACTTACGTTGCCTCAAGAATGAGAGAGAACCAAGACTTTGAATTACAGAATTTACCAGGCTTTTATACTATGAAAAACAGAATTCTATACATCGCGCGAGCAAAACATAGAAAAATACAGAAAAACACAGAATCTGTATTATCACGTGACATTAACAGAAAATATAACAGAAAATCTCAATACAGAATTCTCTTAGTAAAATCTCGTCGATTCTCGTCTATAAAATTATAAAACAAACCGTAATATTTACATTACGAACATTTCTTATATTTTCAAAAATCTCGTATACATTCAGTCATTATCGAAAGAACATGCTATTCATATTTCCCGCAGTAACAGAAAAATTGATAATTTAACATTCAGAATGCCTCAGTATTCACTGTACAAAATAAAGTAAACTCCGTATACACAGGAAGTGGGAAAACGAAAGTAAACATGATGTACACACATGTGCTCCATTTACCGTAGAACACATAAGTAAGAGATCAACTTTATACATGTACATTAATTCAAACTGTTACTATCATGTACTGTACACTTTCAAAAATACAATGATATAAAAATAAAGGGGGGGGGGGGGTCATAACACTTCAATACTTTACCTTTGTCAGATAAATAGTGGATACTTTTAGGTGCTTCCCTTTGACAGATAATTGTCAGATAATTAGTAGATACTTTCAGGTAATACAATTGTGAATTTTCACATATAAACCATTGTGAGATAAATAATGGACACTGCATATACATACCAGATACTTATCTTTGATATAAAAAGTGGATACTTTCAGATACTTATCTATGTGTCTGAGACAATTAGTGGATACTTTCAGATACTTACCTTCACATTTATCACAGATGACATTTTTGGATAGGGCCAGTTTCCGGGTGGCTCCATTGTACAGGTCCTCTAAACTGACCTGGAGTTGATGAACAACATTCTTCCCCTTTGATGGCCCCCTTTGACCTCTTCTTCCTCCCCCACCACCAAAGAACATATCAAAAATGTCAAAGGGGTTGTGGAAGTCACCCCCACTTCCTCCCCCTTTAATGGCCTCCTCCCCGCCTTCGTCATAAATATCACGTTTCTTTGGATCAGATAAAACTTCATAGGCCTGGCTGATCAACTTGAACTGTGAAAATATAACGATAATTTACTTCAGCATCTCATTTCAAAATGATACTCCCACACCGCTGTGACAGTTCTTTTTGCACATCATGACAAATATTCATACAATAAGCAAGTAAAAATGAAAACGTGTAAGGCATTTTTTTTTTTCATTTAGTTATAAAAATATTTCACACTACCTCCGGTAATCTTGCACTATTTAACTGTTTAATCTAAAGCATTCCGGCTAACTTACTTTGCAACAAAGTTTTATGGATGTTAAGAAAATCTATTTTAATTGAACTGAACTTTAAAGTAAGTGAACTCATTGGACTGTATGCCAGAAATGTTTTGTTATAAATTGAGAAGTTATCATGCAATACTCCAGAGTTCCCGAAACGCACCGGTCCACGGGGCATGCCTGGTAAATTTGGAGTGGGACCAGTAAAATCTGAATTTTTTGGGTCAAAATGTCCGACAGTTTTTACAGACTGTATAAAAATGACACATAAATCTTAACAAAATCATTTAATTCAATTGTCATGACAATAAACAACGTGCAAAGCCAAATGGGAAAAACGTCAGTGGCGCACCAAGTTATTCTCGTGCATTCTGGTTTAAATGTAGATGGTGTAATGAATGTCTACTACAAAAGGCTACATAAGTCATCAAGCCATCAAGTTGCCAGCTATTTCTGCTTGATTATAGACAATTTCTTAACAAATTTATTTTCTCTAAAAATTAATCTATTAGAATTATTTACATGTATATTAAATAACTTTTAGATTTTTCACATGTATTAGTTAACATTTATTACAGGCACATTTTTCCCCATTTCTAAAAATGGCCGACTGGCTTAAAATGTAAAAAAAAAAAAACGACAACAACTTCACTTTAAACCATCATTTCACGATTAATTTGCATATTTTCACATTATTATTATTTTTCACTATTGTGGTAGTATAATACATTCTAAACAGTCAACCACTTAATATAATAATTTTATACAACGAAGCGCTGGTCTCCGCATGTAAGCGTCGGCGACGTCAAACCCATTATAGTGTATATTGGGTCCTAGCACACAAAGGGTTATACATATAATAGAAAAATATTTTAATGAAATCTAAAAAAAAAAAAAAAATTTTCAATCTTCATTTGCCAATTCTTTTTTTTACACATATTTAATTGGATTTATAGAGTTACAAAGAGGACGCTAGTGACAGGAACAAGTAACTATGAGAAAAACGCCATCAATCAGTAAATTTCTTCTATGTGATTAACAGTACCTGACACTGTACATGTGATGTATTTTTCATTTTTGATTCATAATAAAATTTTGAAGTAAAGAATGTTACAGGGGATTTACAAAGGGCATTTTCCCTAAGGTCTTCATTCCTGATCATGGACTACAGCAGCAATATTATGACAATCTGAATAGGAAATAGAAAGGGGAAAAGGGAATAAATTAGCTTGAAAAATTACCTGTTTTTCATCACTTTTATGTACATTTTTATTTTATTTTATCTAAAATATTAATGTCCGGTAAATTTTACAATCGTCCGGTAAATTTTGAATATTTACAGGACAATTGTCCAACAGATTTTTTTCTAGTTTCGGGAACTCTGATACTCTATAGCTATTACACCAAAATCATATGGACAAGTCAATCCCAGCTATCACAACCTTAACTCACTCCTACTCAACATAAAAGCCCACAAAACATAAAAACACCCAACTTCACTTGATTTTCTCATGCATAGTTAAAGGGTTATATAGAATAGAATGTGTAGAATGAATAATTTGAGAGCTTTCTGGATTTTTACGATCTTGCCATACAAGAACTTTAAGATATCCAATGTTTCGAGATATTATTCTAACTAAAATAAAATAAGGAAAAGCATTCAGAACTTCCAAATAACTTCAACACATCCATGGTACAGAAGATACCAATGTTTAAGGTAGCGATGTTTAATTGTTACACTTAAATTTGAAGATATTTATGTTGCTAATTAATATTCTGAATCATCATGATCATAATTTACCTTTTCCGGTTCATCTGGATTTTTATCTGGATGATATTTCAATGCCAGTTTCCTGTAAGCCTTCTTGATTTCATCTGGTTGGGCAGTTGGCTTGACACCAAGTATGTCATAATAACCAGTCTCTTTTACCATTTCTCAAATCTCCTAAAAAAGAAAAACAAGAGGCCCATGGGCCACATCGTTCACCTGAGCACATTGGCTTGAATTTTAAACTACCTGATGATGCTTCCATGTCAATATAACAAGTGGCTTTGTCGTACTTGAGAAGATTTTAAAAAATTTTTCCCATATATTCCTTTGTAAAAATTTGATCCCCCATTGGGCCCCACCCTACCCCTGGGGGTCATCATTTGAACAAAATTGAATCTACACTACCTGAGGATGCTTCCATATCAAAATGACTAATCATGGTTTGCAGTTCTTCAGAAGAAGATATTTTCCTTTATATTTCTATGTAAAACTTTGATCCTCCATTGCGGCCCCGCCCTACCCCCGGGGATCATGATTTGAACAAACTTGAATCTACACTACCTGAGGATGCTTCCATATAAATATGACTCATCATGGCTTTGCTGTTCTTGAGAAGAAGATTTTTAAAGATTTTTCCTTTATATTTCTATGTAAAACTTTGATCCTCCATTGTGGCCCCGCCCTACCCCCGGGGGTCATGGTTTGAACAAACTTGAATCTACACTAACTGAGGATGCTTCCATATAAATATGACTCATCATGGCTTTGCTGTTCTTGAGAAGAAGATTTTTAAAGATTTTTCCTAGTATATATTTCTATGTAAAACTTTGATCCTCCATTGTGGCCCCGCCCTACTCCCGGGGCTCATGATTTGAACAAACTTGAATGTAGACTACCTAAGGATGCTTCCACATGAGTTTCATCTTTCCTGGCCCTATGGTTCTTGAGAAGAAGATTTTTAAATGATGCCATTATTTTTTCACTAATTCCTAATTATCTCCCCTTGGAAGAGGGCATGGCCCTTCATTTGAACAAACTTGAATCCCCTTTACCCAAGGATACTTTGTGGCAAGTTTGGTTGAAATTGGCCCAGTGGTTCTTGAGAAGAAGTCGAAAATGTGAAAAGTTTACAGACAGACGGACGCCGGACAAAATGTGATCAGAAAAGCTCACTTGAGCTTTCAGCTCAGGTGAGCTAAAAACAAACAATATCATGTGTTTGTGAAACACTGATGCCCCCATCCTATGCTTATGGCATCTTATGGCAAAGGTTAAAGTTTCTAAAATGTAGGGGAAACTCCAAGGTCAATTACGGTAAAGAGAACAAAAGAGAGGTCTTGTCTGAAATGTACCTGGAATATGAAAGCCCAAAACATCAGGGTCAAGGTCAAAATTAATGGTATCCAAAGGAAGGTCTTGTCACAAGAAATAAACGGGTGAAATATGAAAGTTCTAGCACCAACCATTCAAAAGTTATGGACAAGATTAAAGTTTATCAAATGTAGGTCAAACTCCAAAATCAAGGGAAAAACAGGTCAAAACTGTTGGTACCCCAATGGAAGGTCTCGTCACAAGCAATATACATGTAAAATATGAAAACCCTTGCACCAACTGTTCAAAAGTTATGGTCAAGGTTAAAGTTTTTCAAAAGTAGGTCAAACTCCAAGGTCAAAATCAAAAGGTCAAAATTCAGAGGGCTTCAAATTCAAACTCAACTCAAAGACCATAAACTGCGAGCAGAATTAAGTCAAAATTTGGATTCTTAATATCTTGAGTTTTAGCTTAAAAAATTGCAATTTCTTATGTTCACTTCAATTCAAACATATGATGAAAAGTTTGATTATCAAAATTATTGATTATCAAAATTTCAAAAGGGATATTGGTTGGAAATTTTGACTTGTCTGTTCTCAGTTTACGGTCTTGGAGCCAGGTCTGGCCCCAAGACCATAAACTGAGAAGATTTAAGTCAAAATTTGAAATCATTATAACTTTTGAAATAATTTTGATAAGGAAACAAAATTTTCATCATATGTTAAAATTGGAATATTATACAAACCTGCAAATTTTTTAAGTAAACGTGAAAAAAACCTCAAGATATTCAAAATCAAAATTCTGTCTCATTTTCTCTTCTTGTCGGTTACACAATAAGCTAATTTAACTGATTAATATTTAAATCAAAATCAACAAATTCCTACTTAAACTTTTATAATAAAAGAATATCATGGTCCACCCCAGGGCACGGAGAGGATAAGTAAGTAAGTAAGTTATGGTCCACCCCACCCCGCCATCTTCATCTGACACATAACGAAAATTTCTGGTCATGCAGAAATACTCCTTTCTGTTTCATTTGACTGTTTGAAACATTTCCCATTCTGATCTAAAGATTCTTTCTTACTTACTGAAGTTTCTTCATCATATTTACGTGCTCATATATTCAATGGTTTGAAAAAAATTGAATGATTTCACACACACAGTACAAGGAACATTACCTGGACATTGTGTCTATGGTTAAAAAAGTCAAACAGTGCTTCTACTGAGAAGAAAAATCTACATTTGAATTTTTCTTTTTTCTCACTTACCTGGAAATTAAAATTTCTTCACACAAAGAAGATTTTATTCTAGATTACTCTCTCTTTCGTCACTAGGATTACAACATATACAGAGGTTTCTAGAGAGTTCCTCCACTTCTCTAGATCTCTCTTTCGGCCTGCCTGTTATTTTTAACCGGAAGTGCAGTACGGAAAACTGTTGGGACAACCACTAAATTTCCGTAAAAAAATAAAAAAAAATAAAAATCCCCTTCAGTGTGAGATTTTTGATAATGCATTTCAAGGGCGAATCCATGAATTTTTCCAGGTGAGTGGTTGGAGGGGAAGGGGGAGGGGTTTCAACATCCAGTGACTTAGAGATTTTTTTTTTAGTCTGCAAAAAAGAATTCTCGTGTATTCGAGTACTCTTTTTATATATATCGATAGGGATACCTATTCAGTTACCTGTGGTGTGGGGGAAGGGGGGGGGGGGCTGAGACTAGCCACTGAGGATTTTTTGTCTCTAGGTGTGGGTGGGTCCACACCTAGTCAAAAATAATTCGACTCTTATATTTTGATATTCAATAAATAAATAAATAAATAAAAAAAAAAAAAAAAAAATAAAATAAATAAATAATAAATTTTAAGAATAAATATAAAATAGATTATATGGAACCAACTTGACGAAGACACAGTGCGCGCAAAATCTATCGAGGCCTTCAAGACCGCCCTCGACAAGATTTGTCAATAACATCGACAGCGCCTCTCCCCCGTCGTATAAAAGCCAGTATTGGTTACCACGACGTACCATATACAGATACAGATAGATAAATAAAAGAGATAAATTAACACCAAAAATGTAAAGTCTCTATGTTGCACATAGATACCTGAGGACAGCCCAACTATCGCAACACATTTTTTTTAAAAATATTTTGCGCGTATTGGTAAATCAGCTGGAAGTCTACATCCAGTGTTTCTTTTAAGGTTTCTCCTATGTTGTTCATGCTTTCCCTGCTCTTTTCCCATTTTATTGCCAGTTTCCTGCATGGTGCTAGCTGCAGCCGGTTGTACATTGCTGTCAGTAGTATGAATTCCTCGCATCCCCTTGGTGGTCAAGCTGGTGCCTATTAATATGCCCCTATAGGACATGGCTTCATCGAGTCGAACACGCAGCTTTCTTTCCTGGTCGGGTAGATTGACCTCCCTCTTACAACTTCTGCTGTTGGCTTTAGTACCCACAGCTGGGGCAGTGCAGAGATGATATCCAGACGAGTCCTCGCTTCTGCTTCCGAGGAGATTTTGAGGGTAGCCCTGATGGAAAAAGGTCAGAAAATGCCATGTACATGTTTATAATGAGACAGCAAATGTTTAATGTTCCTTGTTAAATATTTTTTCATGATTTAATTTACCTGATTTTTTCAGAATTTTTTTTCTATATAATAACAAATAACCTGTGTGATATCTGCATCAATGAAATGTATTTCTTGGATAAAAGTATTCAATTCATATTTATCCATGTTGTCAGTGCTACAAATACAGTGAATATAATGTACTGGTACCAGAAAATTTAAATTTCTTTGAAATCATCTGTTTAAAAAACATATATGATAAAGAAATGATACTCACCAAACAGATGTTGATAATCCTGAGATAATCCTTGTAATCTATATGATGCAAAAATCTTAAACGTTAAAAAATAGGCGCCCATCTTGTCTAAGAGCATGTTGAGGAACTAAAATTTTGGCCTAGATAAGCTGCAAACCACAATACTCTGTGACGCTGCCCAGCAGTAGAATTGAATAACAAGGTTATCTTGACATTGAAGCTGACCAGTGAAGCCAAGGGCTTAGCTAGGTCTTGAATTAAAATTCGGGAGAGGATCAAAAATAATGCAAACAGAACAAGATCGTAATCTTGAGTGATCGTATCATTATAAATCGTGCATGTGTTTAATATTTTGGGTATTTTCTTCAATGGATAGAAGAAAAAAAATCACAATATTCATAATTCTATGGTAACAATTAAATTGAAGTAATATGAATGTGTGATATGCGAAGCCCTACTTTTGACAAAGTTTATATAACTAAAACGTTTTATACATGTTCTATAATCAATGACAATCGAATCCAATATGGAAATGAAAAGCAACAATAAAAAAAGTTTTAAAACATTTTTTGAAAGCATATGTATATACATCCTCGCAAGCCAGGGGTCCTGAGTCAACACGTTGCTGTTGGACGGCAACGTGTTGACTCAGGACCTCTGGCTTGCGAGGATGATGTATATATTTTTAAATTAATATTATATTTGAAAGAATTAATCAGAAACTTGATTTTTAATTTTTTCGGGTAAGTTTTGAATGATACACTTTTTAATTTAAATAGTTTGAAAATACTAAAAAAAGTATTACACAAAAGTTCCAGCGATGCTAAATAAAACGTTTTATTAGAACATTTTTTCCATGTTTTAAACATTTAAACATTTTCACAGCATACCTTGAAAATATTGTCAATGATATGAATATGTTTCTTGTGTTTGTGTACATTTATATTGTATTATCTCAAAACATTTTGAAAATGCTCCTTCACAATGATAATCGTGAAAAATTAATTTATTCTTTTTTTATTCATTCATTCAAGTATATCCGGAACTAGTTTTTATCTTGCAACGTGGAGACAACTTGACTTCCGGTTTGACGACACAAGTAATTTTAGATGCCTAGTTGACATTTACTTCGTGAAAAGGATTATTTCAGTCTCATCGTCATTGTATATGGTACTCATAATTTGGAAAGCTTTCCAAATATAGGTTTTCTTCCTCTTAAAAGACAAAAATGTGAAGAGGGTTTCAGATTCCATATATCTGACGTAAGTGGTTTAGAGGAAATTCGAGATAGATAATTTCATTTCGATTAATGGGAATAAAAATATTTTTCAAAACAAAAATATCTCTTTTTCATAACTTAAAGTGTCAACAGCTTCTCTAGAGAGATTTTTGTCCATCACGGGGGTCTTATGGACCAACTAAACAGGTTGGGACCAATTGCCAAATGGGATATTATAGCCCGTTTGGGATATATATCCCAAATGGGGTATACATTTACAGTGCAAAAAAAAAAAAACGAAAATTTTTATGACCTGTTTATGATATTTATAGCCAAAATAAAAATTTTCATTTTTTTTTTGCACTGTAAATTTATAGACCATTTGGGAAATTATATCCCAGAGGGGTTATTATATCCCATATGGGCAATTGATACCGACCTGCTAAATGTTAGTTATACAAATGGGGTAATTTTCAATGTTTAATACATATATGTATTCTAAATGAACTTTTGCAATACCTGGTATTTGTTTTTGATTAAAAAATTAGTATTTACTATACACAATACACTGTATACTGAATAAACATTCAAAGTTCCCATAGGAAACATGAAACATAAACAATTCCAATCAAAATGCGAAATATTGCTTATACTATCTTCAAAGGTTAATTAATAATAATGTTAGTTCTATATAAATCTGAAATCAACATGCCTCTGTTTGTTGCAGAACATGGGAGCCAACAGCAGCAGTTTTAACGAGCTGTCCAGTAATGAATATTTAAAACGATTGTCTTCACCAGAGCCGATCAACCCAATAGACCCATACTGGAACCAGCTTCTTTCCTTCTCTTTCCTTATCCCAATCAATAGGTATTAATGGATATTTCCTGATATCAGCTTTTGAGAGAAAGAATTAAATAAAAATTCAAATTCTACTCAACCAGTGAACACACACTGTATACTAGATGGATGAGACCAACTTTGGTGTATTGGTTGAAAACCATCCTCATCTATAGCTAGCAAATGTTGACTCTTTGTTTCACTGATCTATAAATAAAATTTTTGCACATCATCTTGTTCTGCAAAGTGCATTCAGATATTTTGTACACTGGAAAGGATATACTGAATTTTTTTTTTATCCTAGAATTTAGAATTGTTTCTTCTAACTCCTTTTGTAGAACTTGTAGCTTCACATTATAACCAATATATCAATTTGAAAGATTCAGAGCTAAATCAACTAAAAATTTGCATAATTGTTTATTTCTATTCACCATTTTTATTTTGTGAACAGTTCTGATGGCAAACTTTTGGAGGAGGCTACGGCCAGTATCTGTAAAGGTGTGGCCATCCACAACTGCAAGAGTGGAAACTTCGGAGCCCTGATCCGGAATTTCCTAGTGAGAGCCACGGAGCTCAAAGCTTCTGTACAGTGTGAAGAGTAAGTGATGAACACGATCCTTAGTTTGTAAGATACATCTGAAAAACTTGAACTCTGTTTTATTTCCATTCATACTGAGTCTCATAAAAGCAAGAATTCGCCCTATATTTCAATCTCGCCATTACAAAGTTAATTTTTGGCCTTAAATTATATATATGCATTTCTATGTATGTATTAAGCCAAATTTAAGATTTTCCAAGTGAGGAGACCTTTAAAGCAATATTATTGAAATGACTGGAAAATAATAAAACAAGCTTTATTTATCATGCTAACAGTTGAAATTCTAAGTTAATTAATGCATACCATAATAACAGATTTAAATAGGTTTGTCTTACTGCCACAATATAATGCTCAGATATCCATTTCTTTTCATGGCAGACATAGAATGATATGTCAGATTTATAATGAGACATTTTTCTATTTTTAGTAACATCTTTACCTGGCAGACCTATAATGCATTGTTCATCATCAGGTCCCTCAGTAAATATTTTGTGGAACACCTGAGTGAGGAACTCATTTTACAGCAGTTTGAAGCCAAGCCAAAGGAAATGGGAGGTCAGTTTGGGTGGATCCAGGATTTTTTTTATCATTTGGGGTGGGGATTTAATCCATTATATATCTGAATCAGTCTTCGACAAATCCCAGGAGTCCGAAGCCCGGGACCTGGTAAAATTGGAAGCGGGCATGTGGACATTGCATACTTACAAGCCCGAAGGGCATGTAAATTTTGAGGCCTAAGCCTCCCTATTATCAAATTAAATATTACCAATAACATTAAATATACTTAAAAGTCTGATTTTTCATCTAAAGTGGAGCATCAAATAAAATTTTAACGATAGTTTAAATATTCTACCGCGATTTCCAAGGAACTCTTTTGCAAAGGAGACGCAAAAAGTATACAAATTGAAAACAATATGTGACTTCCAAAGAATTCTTTTGCAAAGGAGACACAAAAAGTGTACAGGTTGAAAACAATATTAATGGCGAGACAATAGATCGATAGAAATGGATTTCCGATCATTTCCTGGGCATGAAAAGGCAAATAAGAATAAAATTACTTGATAAAATTCTGGGCATGTAAATATTTGTTCGGGCTAGCGTAATAAGTGGTTAAACCTGCCCGAAGGGCATGTACTGAAAAAAAGATTTGGCGAAGACTGATCTGAATTTTACTATGATAGCTCCCATGTTAAGTTTAGTATCACAGAGGTTGGTGGACTGGTTTCAGATTAATAATATGATTCTGTATAAAACTGAAGTACATGTCGTGGATATCCCCCATATTGTGAAAGGTTTTGTGTGTAACAAATGATACACACAATTTTTTATTTATCATCAAAATGAAATCTATCAATGATTTTTTTTTTGTCAGAGGGGGTATTGTTACAAAATAGTGTACTCCTTACTAGAATGAATATGTTTGAAAATATTTACAAGATATTTTTGTCAAACTTTTAGGGTACAAGGATCCAGAGGAAATGGGTCCATTACTAGAGGAGCTGATGAACTCGCTAGTGGAAATGCTAGTGGATGTCCCAGTCATGTAAGTGCAGATGTACCAATATAAGAATATTAAAGTAATTGTAGAGATATTAAGCTCACTAGAAATAAGGATTGAAGCAAGTTGGAAGAGGTAATGCTTTCACCCAAGTTGGCCATCAGTCTGTTCCAAAATAGAAGGAATTCAAAGAGTGCAGACCTCCATCGGCCTTAGAAATCTATGGTTGCCCTCTACAAGCTTTAGTTTTTAAAATTCATTCATGCAATATGGGAATTATGTCTCCCTTCCAGGGGAGACATATTGTTTTTGTCGATTTTCTTCTTCTTCTTCTTCTTCTTCTTCATCCAAATTTTGTCCAGGCCATAACTTTAATACCCTTTGATATTAAGACTTCAAACTTGGAACATAGATAGATGACATTAAGGAGGAGTGCACGCCACCAACATTTTTGACCTTGACCTATTTATAAGGTCGAGGTCAATCTTTTACATCAAAATAGAGTTTAGCCCATAACTTGAGATCCCTTTGATATTAGGACTTCAAACTTGTAACTTAGGAAGAAGACCTTGAGACAAAATGCACTGCATTAGAATTTAGACCATGACCCCTTTCTGCCTTCAAGGTCAAATAGGGAAAAAACACGATCTGACCATAACTTGAAAACCTTTTGACAATAAGACTTCAAACTTGGAACATGCAGAGGTGGTATAAAGGAGAGATGCATGCCACCAAAATTTTTGACCTTGATTCAATTATTAAAAGGTCAAGGTCAATCTTTTACATCAAAATAGAGTCCAAGCCATAGCTTGAGTACCCTTTGATATTAGGACTTCAAACTTGTAACATAGAAAGAAGACATTGAAACAAGATGCAACACACCAAAATTTTTGACCTTGACCTCTTTTCTTCCTCAAGGTCAAATAGGGAAAAAACTTGATTAGACCATTACTTAAGAATCCTTTTTTATAAAGACTTCAGACATGGAACATGCAGAAGTGGTATGAAGGAAGGATGCATGCCACCAAAATTTTTGACCTTGATCCAATTATTATAATTTCAAGGTCAATCTTTTACATCAAAATAGAGTCCAGGCCTTAGTTTGAGTACCCTTTGATATTAGGACTTCAAACTTCTAACATAGAAAGAAGACATTGTTACAAGATGCAACGCTTCAAAATTTTGACCTTGACCCCTTTCTTCAAGGTCAAATAGGGAAAAAACACGATCTGACCATAACTTGAGAACCCTGACATTAAGACTTCAAACTTGGAACATGGAGAGGTGGTATAGAGGAAGGGTGATTGGCAAATTTTTTCACCTTGACCTATTAATAAAGTCAAGGTCAATCGTTTACAGGAAAATATAGTCTAGGTCCTAACTTGAGAACTTTTTGACATTAGGATTTCAAACTTGGAACAAGGAAAGACAATATTGAGACTAAATGCACTGCATCAAAATATTTGACCTTGACCACTTTCTTCAAGGTCAAATTAAGAAAATCACGACCAGACCATTACTTGAGATCCGTTTGACATGAAGACTTGAAATTTTGTACACAGAATTTGAGTTGAGATGCACTGCATTATTATTTTAGACCCTGATCATATATTTGCACTTGCACTTTGCACTTAATGTTGGTAAAGAAGGGGAGACATGTGTTTTTTTGTTAAAAAAACAATACCCACTAGTTATACCTATTTTCTTCGCGAAAGTATATACTCTTTCCTTTGGAAGGAGTATATGTTTTCACCTGTGTTTTTCATTTATCTATCACTTTATGACACTAGAGGCCTCTAACTAATATCAAAGATTTCTCTATAGTTTGTGAATTATATTTATGCATTTCAGGAACTTTACCTATGCCCTCCACTTAGAAGCCCTGAACACACTTTTGGTTCTGTTGTCAATACAGATGTTTCAACCACAACCTGCCCACAAGTTTAGAGTTTACCAGGTCATGATGCAAGGAAGATGGTAAGTCTTCAGCAATGAAAATTGAATTTTTATGTTAGACCATATTTATTTCTTGAAAAAATTCCCACTTCGTCTCATAAAGTTTACACTGGATTTTTTTTCTTCCTTTTTACATGTTTCAAGTATTTAGATACAGAGTACATTTTAAAAAATGTTAATATTTTTTTTTAAAATATGTCAATTTGGTACTGAATTTTTTTTTCATTGGTCAGGATGCATAAAAAACAAATGTAAACATTTACATTAAAGATCGATGTTTCATACATGTGATATGTACCGGCGGTACGCAAAATGTACAGTTTTTCGAGCCCATTCATCGTGTACCGGCGGGACACCAAAATTCATGGAATATGAAAATTTGTACAGTATTTTGAATTTTTGCTAAATGCCTCCATTTTCCTTTCATTCTCGCTCGTGAGACACTGGAAAATGTCACCAGTGTTTGACACTTGACCTTCTGATAATTGTGTAGTGTACACAACCATCACGTGTGATGGTGTGAACTGCCAGTTGGGATAATTATCTTGCTATAAATCCATATCAAGATACCCCTTTAGGTAGCTTTATTTTTAAAGTGGTACTTAATTATAACTGTTAATGTTTCGTAACTTGATTGAAAAAAATTAAGCCAACTTCTGAAGTTGATATACATGACTTAATATACTTGAATCTGACCCAGATCTTCATAGGTGTAAAATATACAATGTTTATAACCATGATTACGCTGAAATTTCAGAATTTAAGGGATATTTTATACCGTTTTTTGTACCGTTTTTTGATAGGCAGTGTACAGTTTTTTCACCCAAATTCCAGTTTTTTTTATGGCTCCTGTACAGTTTTGTAGTCCTTGACTTATCACTTGTATGATGTTTTAATATGTGCCTTGTTCATGTCAGAATAAAATTGCATGGGAGCTTATTAATAAGTAAATTTTTTGAATCTAAGTGTGCTCTGCAGTTACACTCATGTGTGTGTACTTGAAATAAAGTTGTATGGCAGTTTTAAGACAAGAGTTTATTAAAATTGTACATTGCAGTTCCATTCATGCCTGTGTTCTTGTGAAGGCTCTACTGAGAAATTTCTCTAATCAAGAGAAGTGTCCCCCCGAACTATACAGACAATCCTCTGACGTCAACAGTATGGTGGCCAATGTGGCAGGTAATTAAGGGATGGATCCTAGATTTTGTCTGAATGGGACAACTGATAAGATAATGTCATTTTGATTACTGTAAACCAAATATTATACATGGACCAGAAATATCCACCAGATTCACAAGCAGTTATTTTCATACATATATTTAAGGTCACAAAACAGTTTAAAAAGACTTTAAAAGTCTATTGAACAGGAAACCGTGGTCAGGAATATTATGTGTCATGGACCAGTTCTCGATTGGAATTTCCTAAGTAAAAAATGTCACATTTTATTAATAATACAGTCAAACCTCGTTATCTCGAACTTGATGGGACCGAGATAAAACTTCTAGATATCCAAGGGTTTGAGATATCGAGGGTAAAATACTTAAGAAATACGTGGTTAGGACTTTTCAATCACTTCGAAATATCCATGGTATTCGAGATATCCGTGTTCAAGATACCGAAGTTCAACTGTAGTTGTTTTACAAAAGTAGACTGATGCTTTCAAATGCATCATGTTGGAAATTGCCAAAAGTAAGAAAACTCATAAAGGTCAACTTCATATCAAGCAAGCATTCTTTAAATTTACAGCTAGTTTATGGTCAGTCATGACTTTGGGCATGGGAAATAAAACAGAGAAAAAGGAAGAGGAGTTCCAGGAGACATTACTAGCCAATCAGAGCCTGTTATTCCTCTTGGTGCTGACTAACCATTGTACAAGTGAGAGAGGAACTAGTAATCCTTATAGAGAAGCATTGTTTGCTTTTACAGATGTAAATGGTAAGTCATTTCAACATCAGAGGAAAATCTGCTTCCTTTCTTTGCCATAAAACTACTTCCTGCATCATAACAGTGTAAGAGTCATCATCCATCTATAATGTTTCAACATTAATGACCTTATTTATAGTTAAAATGAAAAGAATTTCAGCATACCTTGCAGGACAAAATTTTGACACTTTTATAAATGAATGATAGTCATTTATGTTAGTTAGAGTTATCTCTCTTATAATAGACTCGATGAACCTTAGATATTAAAGTTTTTATTCCTTGGATGTTGTAAACCCAAATTTGTTACACTCACATTGAGAGGCTCTTGGTTTGTTCTCATTGTCATTTAGAACTCCAAGGGCAGACTGAATTAATGAAGATTGTGGCTTTATCTAAGAATTTAAACAAAACTGTGATACATTTTCTATCTCCTTTCCAGAAGAGTCCTCTGTGAGTCAGGTGGCAGCCACCTTTAAGATGGACTACAATGCTTTATACGGAGCCCTGTGTTCTACATTAAGAGATGATCAAACCACACTGTTACTTTATCTACTGATTCACAGGAACAGCGGGGTCAAGGCTTTTATATTCTCCAGAACTAACATAGATCATCTTGTAAGTCTTAAAAATAGTGGGTATTTCATTTTTGTGTTGCTGTTGTTTCACTGAACACGTTGATCAATTTATTTGGGGTTACCTGTTTGGCACCTGACATTAGTCAGAACTTTCATGAAAATATTTCTTATACATGTACTTAAATCTGTCCTAAAAAACTGAAAAGAATTTAGGTCACTAATAGAGTTCAGATCTTGCAAGTGACATTGTTTATGTACAGTGCCTAAACAGTTTTATCATATTCATTTTATATAGAGGAATAACAGTAGAGGTTAAATAATTTATTGTCCTGATACATGTATTCTGTGGCTTAATGTTTAGGTGATGCCCTTGTTGAAGATTCTGTATCATGCCCAGGACAAAAATTCTCACCACATCTACATGGCCTTAATCATCCTCCTTATTCTGAGTGAGGATGACGTGTTCAACAAGGCTGTTCATGAAATAGTAAGTGTTCAACATAGATGTTCATGAAGTAGTAAGTGTTCAACTTGGGTGTTCATGAAATAGTAAGTGATCAACAAGGCTGTTCACAAAATATTAAAGTGTTCAACATAGTTTTTTACAAAAAAGTAAGTGCTCTACAAGACTGATGTAATTTATGCATGTGCTGTTCAGTGGAATTTTGAAAGTCAAGCAACTAAAATATTATTAATAAAGAAAAGAAATGGAATTCTAAAACATTCCAGTATTGCAGATCAAATGAAATTGCTAACTCTGATGGAACACCTTATCTTTTTTTAAAGTATTTTAATTATTTCTTGTTTATTTCATTTCTGTAAAAAAAAAATTTTTCAGACTCTGAAGAACATCCCTTGGTTTAAGGAGAGACCTATTTCAGAAATCTCCCTGGGGGGTCTGCTGATTCTAGTTGTGATCCGTACGATACAGTACAACATCACCAGAATGAGGGTAAGTCTAGTGGTGATCCGTACGATACAGTACAACATCACCAGAATGAGGGTAAGTCTAGTTGTGATCTGTACGATACAGTACAACATCACCAGAATGAGGGTAAGTCTAGTTGTGATCTGTACGATACAGTACAACATCACCAGAATGAGGGTAAGTCTTGTGGTGATCCGTACGATACAGTACAACATCACCAGAATGAGGGTAAGTGTTTCATTATTAATTAAGGACGTTCGATCCTGGGTTTTTGAGCGGATTTTGGTCCTGTCCTTTATTTATAAACTTCTGCGTCATTTTTAATTTCTAACATTAAATCTGAATTCTACAATGCAAATTGAACTATATTCAATGAAAAAAAACATGATTAAATTTCATTCAAGTAGAGTTAAGCTTGGAACTATATTTTGTGGCGGAAGGTTTTCTAGAAGAAAATGATCAGTTTTTTCCCTTTTGAACTATAACAGTACTGCTAATTTTAGATTCCTATTTTTCCATGCTGGTTGCACACAAAGCTGTTTTTTGCAGTGAAATGTGTTATGTTGGTTTTGAAATATCTATTAAATTATTTTTATGCATTCTTTCAACGAAGTGTGACAAATATAGTAAATATATTCTGAAAATCCTGGAAAAAATTGAGCCAATTTTAACGTAAAATTGACACTTTTTTAGTAATATCTGAAAATTTACATCATATATCCCCACTTTTGGTGTTCTTTTCTAAATATTTAAGTTAACTTTGACCTATTTGCTTAAATTCAGAAAAAGTTTAAGACTTTAAAATAATTTTCTTGCTTATTAAATTTTCAATACCAGAAAAATTACAATTTCTTAGTGCAGAAAGGTCAAATAATTGATTATGTGAATCAATTTGAAACATTTTCATAGTCACAATTTTAAAGCGTCTTTTTCTAAATAGACTTTGAGTTCATTTTGTTTCATGCTTTAATTGGACAAAAATATTGGAGGGAAAACGTGGAAGATGTAATTTTCAATTAAGACACAAATTTCAGTGCAAAAAGGTCATATTAAATGTACTGTAGCGCCAAAAGAAGCACATTGACCCCCATTTTTTGTCTTAAATTTTAATTTAGCTAGATATGTAGAAACTAAAAATATACTTGGCAAAAAAAGTTTAAGACTTTAAATATCAGGATCGAATGTCGTTAAATTAATGATCTGTGATACAATACATTGTTTGTACCTCCAAACAGAAAAGAGTCAAAGGAAAAAAATGAATTACAATTTTTTTTATATAAAGTATATCCTGTACATATAATAAAGTTTAAAAAAAAAAACCCAGTAAAATAAGTGAAATATTAAACAGTCATGCCAGAATGTCAGTCTCGATCTGGATAAACCTAAAAATCCGACGAAAATTCAAATGTCTTTAATTAACATACTTATAAATGAAAAACTGATATTTTATCATCAGGAAGTACTTAATGATGAAAAACATGTAATTATATACATATGTCAAGAACATATAACAAATTATGGATATAATAATTAACATAATTTGTCATGTCTAGTGATTTTGTTTAAGTCTTGTTATACATATTTGCTGAAAGACAGTCATAATTAAGATTAGTAAGTATGCAGACTCCTGCTGGGTTCTTGTGATCAAATACACATTTGTGAGCTAAACTGTCATCAATTTGCTTTAAATTAATCTTATCATTTTATTTAATTTAAGGACAAATACCTGCACACAAACTGCCTGGCAGCCCTGGCTAACATGTCGTCACAGTTCACCAATCTCCACCCGTACGTCGCCCAGAGGATGGTCAGGTAACGGCCCACAATTCACTTCTTGTTTTAAAGATGCCACATGTGAACCACTACAATTCTGTGTATTTCTTAAAGAAGAATAGGGAATTTGGCATTGTTTGCAATATTTTCGTATGCTAGAAAGAAATTGCATGGGGCCAATTTATTAATTCCATTGTTGAACATTCAAATCCCTTTCAGGGGGTGTAGATGGGTGTAGAGCGAGAGGAAGCATGATATTCTTTTTTTTTTTAAACAGACTATTTTCAATGTGATTGTAGGTACATGTACTCACTGATTCTCAGAATTTCTATTACATTAGTCTTCAGTTTGTAAATAGCTAAAATATAAGGCAATATAGTTGTTTTATGTGTATTACCTGAGAGTGTATTACCTCAGAGTAGGACTTAGTAAAATTCACAATACTGAAGATAACTGAAATAACATACTTTTTATTTTGCATACAGTTTATTCTCGCAACTGAGTAAAAAGCATGCAAGAGTGGTGGAACACATCCGAGATTCTGCTGTCACTGAAACGGAGAGAGATGAGGCGGCAGAGCAAAATGCAGTATGTAGATATAATAATAGTACATTCTGTCTTTCCATAAAGGTAGATTTGGGATGTCTGAAATATAAGTCACATCATTTTGGTTTTATGTTTTAATGATAAGAAGTTTGAAATAGGGATCAATTATTAATACTTGTATACTGTAAATACAGATAACAATATAAACTGTAATCAATTTTGTTTTTACACCTTTAGTTGAGTGAACACTTGTGCTTGGAAAACAGAAAATTTTCACGTCTCTTCTCTTTATTTGATCTCATTTTATCATTAAAATTTGAAGACGTGTAATTTTTTACATTCTTTTTAATCGGAAAGGCATAATAAAATAAACCAATGATGGAGACATTCTCACTCATCTGCCAGTGAACAAGTCTTATAGGTTGGTGGTAGATGCAGGGTTTTAAATTTAATTTCCCTTGACCTGTGTTTTCAATAAAAACTAGCAACTAGCAAAATTGGCCTCTTGCAGAAAAAAAATCTGCTTGCTGTGAGACCTCAGAAATTTTTGTCAGGGTGAGAACTCCAAAGATATATAAAAATGTTATGGGTTTTTTTTTATCATGACCAGAGTAAGTGTAGATTAACTTCCCTTGAGTGATCCTTTTTTTCAGGAAAGCTTAAAACTTGGTCATTAAGAACTCATTACTTGGAAGTCTCAGTTAGAAGGAATTTTTTATGAATCCTCTAGGTGACTTTTCACTATGTTCTTTGTACAGGTATAAAGAATCCTGGTTATAAGGAAGCAAAATTTGAGGCCCAACTTGGCCAAGTGATTTCCTTATAACTGAGTTTTAGTGTTGTCCATTGGCAAATCTCATTTTGGCAAAGGGGGGGAGGGGGGAAGAAAGGTGCCCCCCCAGGGGGTCCCTGAGGAATACTCTGACCTGAACCTGCTGGGATCAGGTGGCCCCCAAACCCCTCACTGTGATTGGGGTTTCTGCTTTTTCACATCTTTTTTCCTTGCTTTAAAAATCTCATGTTATGTGGTGACCATACACACATTGCAATCTCTGGTTTGTAGATGCAGGGCTTAGCTGTCCTTGGGTAGGCACTGAAGATGGTTTTACATATTAATGATTTTGATCTCTGGTTTGTAGATGCAGGACTTGGCTGTCCTTGAGGAGGTACTGAGGATGGTCCTGGAGATAATTAATTCCTGTCTCTGCTCCTCCCTCCATCACAACCCTCACCTCGTGTACTCTCTGTTGTATCAGAGGGAACTGTTCAACTCCTTCAAGACACACCCCACCTTCCAGGATATCCTACAGAATATAGACATTGTAAGGAGAATGTAGATATTGTAAGGAGAGAGAGAGAGAGAGAGTAGAATACAGATACTGTAAGAGAGAGAGAGAGAGATTGTAAGGAGAGAGAGAGTAGAATATAGATACTGTAAGAAAGAAAGAGAGAGAATATAGATATTGTAAGGGGAGAGAGAGAGTAGAATATAGATGCTGTAAGAGAGAGAGAGAGAGAATATAGATATTGTAAGGGGAGAGAGAGAGTAGAATATAGATGCTGTAAGAGAGAGAGGGAGAGAATATAGATATTGTAAGGGGATAGAGAGAGTAGAATATAGATGCTGTAAGAGAGAGAGGGAGAGAATATAGATATTGTAAGGGGATAGAGAGAGTAGAATATAGATGCTGTAAGAGAGAGAGGGAGAGAATATAGATATTGTAAGGGGATAGAGAGAAGGATGTATAGATATTAATATTAGAGACAGAGTTTGTTTGTATAGACTGACATTAGAAGAGAAAGAAAAGATACTAAATAAAGGAGAGAGAGAGTGGGGGAAAAAAAAACATTGGGAGATGGGAGAGAGAGAAAATTAGGTCATGAATAAGAAGGGTTAAAATTGGGGTGGGGGCTTGGTCGAAGAAATGGGGGAGAGGGGTAAGAAAGGCAGTAATTGCTGCGTGAGGTAGCAGTGTGCAACATCAGTAAGGAGTCTAATGACCATCTACTTGATTCTGTGGTATAAACCTTCCGTTGAAGAAAATGTGTTACACTAAATCACTGTTTATCTATAAACCAGTCTTTTACATATAGTATCATGTTAAGATTTTTCTACAGATGCCTGTTTTGTTTTTATTTGTTTGATTTAGGTGTTGTCCTACTTCTCAGCTCGTGTAGAAGAAAACAAGAAAGGAGGAAATATGTCCCCCTCAGAGGTATTGGAGATTATCAAGGAGGGGTCTGTACAGTTCAGGAGGGATAAACTCAAGGTGGGTCAGAAAAATAATGAGGTTTAAAATAATTTGAAAATAGGGACAATTATAGCTATATTTAATTTGTGACGTTTAAGGAAAAGTGGTTTTGAAATTGAAAAGGTTACTTAAACTTCAAGATCTGGCCCCAGGATCATGAAACAAACTTAGACTTAAGTCAAATTTTCAATTGTCTGTAAAATGTTTCGTAATTGTCAACTTTATCTCTAAATTTGCAGATAGCAACACTTTCATAAAGCTATATTGAAAAATATTTTAATTTTGGTCTGCTTGACTTCTATAACATTTTAGAACAACATGAAGATTTTGACTTAAGCTTAAGATGTTTCTTGATCCTGGGGCCAGGAGATATACAAATATACAGGTATGACACACTTTACAATTAGTGTGACGTGTGTTGTATACTGGTATATATCTTTGCAGTTAGAATTCACTTGACAAAATTTGTGGCCTTTATTTAGGTATATATTGGTACATATGTAATCTTGTCCAATGTAATTTCTAAATGATATATGTCATCTTAGTACACTTGAATTTTGATATCTGAAACACTGATACATGTATCTCAAATATCATATTTATGTCGAAGTCCCTACCACTAATTCTTTTAAGTATTTTACCCCTGATATCTTGAATCCTCAGATATCTCAAAGTTTTTTCATGGTCCCCTCAAGTTTGAGATAAGGTTTGACTTTCTACCAATCAAATTTTGCATTGTAAAACTTTCTTTCATACTGACTGTACATTCTAGAAACTACATATTAAATTCATGCAGAATATACAGTCAAAACTCATTATTTTGAACTTGATTGGATTGAGCCCAAACTTAGAAAGATCAGAGAATTCAGAATAATGAGGTTAAAATACAAAAAAGACAAGTAGTTTGGACTGCATAATCACTTTGACATATCCCTGGTATTAGAGATATCAGTGTTCGAGATAATGAATTCAACTGTATTTCTTTTATATTTTCGAAAAACAGTTTAAATTTGATGTTTCAGAATTTTCTTTATTATTTCAGAAATTCCCTGATCTGAAGTTTAAGTACGTTGAGGAGGAATCCCCAGAGGAATTTTTTATCCCCTACGTGTGGTCCCTCGTGTATCACTCCTCTAACATGTACTTCAATGCCTCACGCATATTACTGTTCTCTCTCTCATCTTCCTGATGAACTTAATGTGAACTGAACCAGAGAAAGTTTGAACAGAACAAATGATCATCTGCAATTTTCATGAACCATGATGAGCTAGAAATATGAATTGAGACTGTGAACCAGAGAAAATATGAACAGAACAAAAGAGAACTGATCATGTACTGTTTTGAACCGGTCATGAAATATGCTGTTTTCATGTTCATAGTTTGTGAACCATTCACTGTTTTCATGTTCATAGCTTTGTGAACCAATCAAGAAATGAAACTAAATGTGAATTGAACTATTCTACTGAAAGTATGAACACAAACAGAGCTAAAAGAACTGAATTGGAATGTGTTGAGCAATATTTTGAACCAGTGAAGAAAGACATGTATGTTGACTGACTTCTTGTTCACACATCAGCATATGCATGAACTTGAACAGAACAGTGCATTCATAGAGTTGCCATATTTTTATGCTCTGTGGAAGCAATGAACTGACTCACTACAGAGCTGTCCAAAAATTTGCAGATTGATTCCTCTGTAATAATGAAACACTTTATTTTGATAAATCTCGGTTAAGCTTTTATAGAATAATGGTGTTTATGTTCAGTAGTTAGTCCAATGTACATGTATATCTATGCCTAAATTAATGGAGTAATCATGTCAAATTGAGAAGATCAGTCGGGAACTAGTCAGAAGTTCATAGTGTGGTGATCCCACCCCTACTCCACTTCCAGAAAAAAAGAACTGTTCTTTTTGACAAAAGTATGTGTTAGTTATTTATAAGGAGGGTGAAAGGTTGAAATTTTAATTGAACCAAAATTTTATTTAAATGTAACTGAAAATGTTAAAATATGGCATTATACAAAAATTTTTACCCCTCCCCTCTTTCCCCACAGTTGGAAATCTTGAATTGGCCTCTAAATATGATTTCCTCTTCAGTTGAAATTATTTGAAATGATGAATAATTAAAGAGTATTTAATTGCAAATACGGGGCAATCAAATGCTTTAATTTATTTCATACCATATCCATGTCATGAAATAATTAGAGGGAGACAACTCTAGTCTTTTTATTGGGTATTAATGTCAATTGAATAATTCAATAAATCAAATGCATGAAAAGGTAGATTTTATTTGGAGATGTAATTATTTGGAAGTAGACAGAATTTTTCTGTACATGTGGGTAGCTTCTGTCTGCTTTATTTGAATTCCTTATTTCCATGGAGTATTTTCTGTGATTTTAAACTTTGAATGTGTTTAATTATGTATATATTATTATGTAAAATGTACATTTTTTGTGAAAATCTCATCGTTTCATCTGACAGTAGATTTGTATGTGTAGATTTGCAGCTGGAGAAATTTTGTTGAAGAATTTTAAAGAAATGTATTGGGAATTTGTCATCTTATTGATAAACTACACTTAGTCCAAGTATGCTGAGTTTTTACCAAATGGAAGAGGAAAGCAGAGTTGAATCAATCATTTCATATATATTAAATTCAGAAGAATAAGAAATTTAATTTGGAAAATCTGTTTTCAATTCATTTTCTCTAAAAAGAAGATAATAAGGTTTGACTGTATATTGAGAAAAATCTAATTTATGTAACTCAAGGCATTGTATTTAAGGTAAATAGATTTGTTGGTTTTTCAAAGGTTTGTGTCAGTTATGCAGTTTTTTAAAGTTCATTTTTTAAGCACAGCAATATGTTTTAATGCACTATATACTTCAATATCTGCAAACACCAGCCTTGTTTTGTTTTTATTTATTTAACATGGGAAAGTTTACATTACTAAGTATTGATGTGTATATCTAATATTACTGTAATTAAATTACTTTATTTTTGTGTAGTTACATGAGATTTTCTGCTTGCAAAAATTCCATTCTCATGCATATTTATATTATGAAAGATTATACATGTATATGAAAATTTTGTCTCCCTATTAAATACAAAATAATAATCTTGCAAAAAAATCTGGTTATCTATATATGTGTCATAATGTGTGTTTGAAACATGTTTCTTTATTAATCAGTGCATTTATTACATGTGTTCTTGTATTACATAATTACATGTATTTATATGAGTGATGCAAATGTTGTGTTGCTGATATATCAATCATTAGATGATATGTCACAGCTGATATAGCACTTATTAGATGATATGTCAGCTGATATATTAATGGATGAAATGTTTTAGTAATATATTGCTATTGTTGCTAGAATCATATCAGAATTGCTCTATTTGTGATAAATAAAACAAAGCTAAATTAAAGAACATTGAGGATAGTTTTCTAAAATTGCTTTTCTTACTTAAATACGTACATACCACAGGCGCCTGAAGTGTGGATCGATAGCCCCCCCCCCCCCTTTTTAATAAAAAAAAAAATGTAAGAGCTTATAATTTCTCAATAATATAAAATTTCCCCATCAATCACATCTAGATATCGTTGTATGCAAGGAGATTGTACCTTTTCTTACGTTTAGAGAATGGCCTGGTACGGTATAATAAAAATACACGTGTAATTTACTAAAAGGGGGGGGGGGCTATCGATCCACACTTCAGGCGCCTGTGATACAAACTTGGAAGATATACAACATCAAAATTAGGAATACGGTATTGATATGGTGGACAAGAACACTGTCATTAACAGGCTGGCAAATTTTTCCGAGTCAGATTATTTATTTTCATGTCGGTAAAGGACAGATTATTTATTTTCATGTCGGTGAAGTACAGATTATTTATTTCCAAGAGGATCTACGACATATTATTTTTCTTCTTCACTGAAAAAAGTCTGACAAGCCGAAAAAAAGGAAAATGCCCAAAGTCCAATTCTCATAAGGGTGGAGGGGAGCACTTTATATTGTCAAGGACAGAATATTTAATATTTTCTTGCCAGTCGAGGAGAGATATTTTCAACATTTTCGAGGACAGATTATTTATTTCCAAAATTTGCTGCCCCCACCCCGAATTAAATGGTCGTGCCCTTATTAAGCTTTGAAGTTGAAAACTTCAAATAATGTAATCATTTGAAAGATAAGAGGCGTAGTATGATGATGGCTCAGTGGTCCTAAGTATTTATGACCAGTAAACAAAATATGATTACTATTTCGGAAATTCCGGATTTACATTTAAAAATACGTATCACGGATTGACTTCAGGAAATTACGCTCCTGGGTTATATGCCCCAAATTTAATTTAATAATGCATACGCAGAGGATACTGATTTATATTATAAGTGTCATTTATGTATTGTACATGCATGTATTGTACATGCTGACAAACTACGAAAACCTATTAGGATCAATCTATGGGTGAAAAAAATTAAAAGGCGTAATAATGTCTTTTCAAAAGGCGTATTAACGCAAAAAAGGCATAATAACGCGAATTGAAAAGGCGTTATAACCCCTATAAAGGCGTAATAACGCGAAAAAGGGCGTTATTACGCCTTTTTAAAAGGCGTTATAACGCCTTTTTAAAATGTTTACTACGCCTTCCCAAAAGACGTTATTACTTTCTCAAAAGGCCTTATTACTCCTTTCCAAAAGGCGTTAATATGCCTTTTGAATAGCTGTTATTACGCCTTTTGACCGACCAGCATTTTTGAAAATGGGGGCTGCAGCCTCCAAAAAATTTTGATAAGCAACCCCCCCCCCCCAAAAAAAAAATACAACCAACCAACCAAACAAAGGAATTAACTGCCTAAGATACTTGAAAAACCTATTTCGATCATGTGTGCGTGTATGGAGGAGGGGGGGGGGGGGGGTAGGGGTAAGGGTGATCTTTTTCTAACTTTGGGGCTTTGCTGGTCATAATTTCATATCTGAAAATCTTTTTCTTTCCTCTTAGAGCACAGGCAAACTATTTGCATGGTATAATCAGCAATCAGCCTTCAAACACAATAATGAAATCCATGCGCATGACCTTTGGTAGAGGTGTCTGGCATCAGAAAAGGACAAAGTTGGTTTAATATTGAAAATATCTTACGTACTCAAAAGTATTTTTTCCTAGATATCTAACTACAATCTGTTTAAATCATTTTTTGAGAAATTAGCCCCATACTTAAATGTGAAATTCATGTCAGTCCCGAGGGTCAGCATTTCAGCCCGCGGGTCGGGCTAAGTTAGTCATGTATTGAAAATAAAAGGTGTAATATCGTTTTTTGAAAGGCGTAATAATAACCCCTTTTCAAAAGGCGTAATAAGGCCTTTTTGGAAAGGCGTAATTACGTCTTTTTGTTGTAACGTAAAAAGGCGTTACATGTATTACGCCTGTTTTCGCGTTATAACTCCTTTGCAAAAAGTGTTATAACGCCTTTTATCCCCCCCCCCCCCCCCCCCAGTAGTTTGATCCTTCTAGGCTTTTTTTAACAAACAGATAATAACGTAACGAAAAAAAATCACAAGATTCTGGGTACTCCCCCTTCCTTTGACCCCAACCAGGCTTTTGCTTTGCCCTGGGCCAACTAGAGCCTCAAGGCGGCCCCCAAAAACATCCGACCCTCTGCACTATTTGTCAAGCCCCCTTTTAATTCCTGGATCCACCGGAGCGGGGGTACTTGCAGCTAGCCTCCGTAAGCGCCCCCCCCCCCCTCCTTCCAGTGGATCCAGGACAAAGTCCTTATATAGTGGCCTGGCTTAGTCCACCTGAGCTTTATACATGTTTAAAATAAATAAAAAATGGTAAGTATCTAGATATTAAATTTTTGGTGACACAAAGCCGAGTATCCAAACATAAACAGATCTGATGGGCAAACTTGTGCTTAGATATGAAAAAAATGTCCGATATTTTATAAAGTCGGGTTCGGGATTCCTGTACAAAATCAGCATGGCGGACGATGTGGACGAAATCGAGAAGAAAGATGAAGAACAAGCAGAGAAGGAACATTTTATCAGAATTCTTAACGCTTTCAAGTTTTACAGGTAACACAATCATTCTGTTCTTCAAAAAACACATTTTGATATTTCTTTCTTTGATGAATTTTTTAAGAAATCTTCAAGATTACCTTTCCTTTTCTTCAGAAGTCACTCCATGCGGCGAGTTTACACGGCAGAAAAGTCTTTCAACGGTCTTCCCCAGCATCACCAGGAATATATCCCACAGTTCTTGGACAATCTTAAAACTATACAAACGTGCATCACCCATAATTATGAAATAATTCGCCTTATTATTAAAGATGCCGAATGTATGTTCGAGAACAAAACACATGAAGCTGATGACAAGGTTTGTTATTTTTTAAATGAAGTCACAGGCCTGTTCAACAGAGCAAACGTTCGCAAACATTTCTATTGGAAAGATAAGGAATTTTGGCGAGCGCTTGCAAACGTTCGCTCTATTGAACAGGCCTCTGGGTTACGTTCAAGATTGTAGCGCCTAACATGAACACTGTGCACTAGATATCTAGCACTCTTGAACAGATCTTCCTTACTACCAAATATTTCCATTTCTATTTTTTTTTCTCTGTGAAATCTCTTTGAAAGTTAGTTGAGTTGATTTCTTGATCATTCTTAGCAAAAGAACAGCTATGGCAAGACTTCGAAGAATATTAAGGAAGAAAATAACCAACAAATTATTCATAACACATATTTTTAAGCTTGCTTGTGCCTTCTACTCAAAAATCAATTCAGTATAATGAAGAAAATCAACACATTTTCTCACCATTTTTCCACCATTTTGCCAATGGGAACTTTCTGAATTGTTTATATGCAGTGATTAGAGTCATCACCCTGTTTATTTTGTTACATTGCAAATACAAGGAACAAAGTCTATCATTAAGACTTGTTTGAAGAACAAATAAAACGTTCCATCTACCAGTGCACATAAAAGGTCGGAGGTATCAATTATTGGATAATTGTAATATAAAATTGATATATCTCCATTGTATAAAATTTTTTTATAGTCAGACTGTAAACCACAGACAGGTAATTTTTTATCTTCTTCACCTTAAGCCTCTGTCATTGGTAGCATCAATACTTGTAGCTGTGGATTATGCAGGGGTGTGCAAGTACAAAAATTAGTAACTAGCTCGTTGGGCTAGTGGCAGTTACAAAGTTACTAGTCCGAGGTTGCCAGTCACTAGCCCATTAACTACTGAAAACAATATATGTATAATATAACAGAAAGGTAAAAAAAACAAAACATTTAAGTTGAAATAAATAAAACAAATAATGATTAACGCTTTGTTATTGTCAGGTACTTCTCCCTATTTTTATCGACTATAATTGTCACTGAAACGACTGGTGATAGCAACACACAATACATGTAGGTTAAAACGAATTAAAGATTATGATTTTACAACAAAGTTAATTCGTACATCAATTGAGTCAACGTAAATATATGTATACTTTTGTTTTAGATTTACTAGCCCAACAGGCTAATGCAGTATAGATTTATGATAGCCCGACCTCTAAAATTGGTAGCCCCGGGCGTCTGGCAATGGTAATTGCACACCCCTGTTTAATATGAATGCAAAAATAAAATTGAAATGGTCAATTCTTAAAAATTATTTTTTATTCAAGTCAAATGTCTCAAGCAAAGCAGATAAAAAGTGCCTAGAACCAATAATATAAATGACTTTTAAAAACTGATAATTATATAAATGAGCATTATTCTTATTACTCAAATAGCCAGAAGAAAATCTGAAGCAAATGCCCCCCACTAACTTTGACATGGACAAGGTCAAGACAACCCTAAAGCAGATTGTAAGAGACTGGAGCACAACAGGGGAAGAAGAGAGAAAGGCTTGTTATGACCCTGTTATAGCAGAGGTCAAGGACATATTCAGCGATAGGTATGTATTTAGTACGTTTGATAGATTAAATTTAAGTTTTAATGCAGTTATCATGGTTATGACTCAGATATAAGAGAAACATTATTTTTTTGGTCCATATATGACAGATTACAGATGATAATGTGATACCACTAATTTTCGTGGGTTTTTAATTCTGTTGTTTTCATGGTATGCAGAAACCCACAAATTTGTATTGAAATATGAAGATTTTTTTCTGCTGTATAATGTTTCTACTTTACCCATGAAATATAATCCCTTCGAATAAGTTATTTTTCCACAAATCATGAAAATTTGACCCCACAAAAAATACTGTAAACCAACTATTATTCGCATCATCTTTTATTCATGATTAGTCCGTTTAAAATCAATCTGCGACAATTAATTTTCATGACTGAGGAAACATTCTCTACAAATACAAAGCAGAAAAAATGGTTCACAGCAATTAATATTCGCGAGTTAAAGTAGGTCACAAAACATGTGGATATTTCTCGTACGCAAATAAAAGTTGGTTTACAGTAAGTGATTTTACAGTTATTTGTAAAGTGAGTTGCTAAGCCAGCTTTAACCGTTCGTATTATAGGTAACCGGCAGTGTTGAACTCTTAAGTTGTGTTACATTTTTAAGGTTAATTTGTTAGAATTAGACTTGTCCCAATATTTGTTATGTATATTTTTTAACTCTTATGAGCTGAAAGCTTCAGTTAGCTTTTTTGATCAAAGTTTGTCTGATCTGTCTATTGTCACTGTTACATTTTCAACTTTGCCACAAAGCATTCTTGGGTGAAGGGGATTTAAATTTATTCAAATGGAGGGCCACTCCCCATTTCAAAGGGGAAAATAGGGATGGATCATTTTGAAAAAAAAAGATTAACAATTACTGGACCAGGATAAACAAAACATATTTGAAAGATTCCTTAACGAGTATAGATTCCAATTTTTTTTCAAATCAAGGTCCTTGAAGTGTTTTACTGAACTGACCTTGACCTTGTATTGCAGAGATCCTTCTTCAGTGGGAATTCTGGTGCCGGGAGCAGGGCTTGGGAGGTTGGCCTTCGAGTTTGCCAAGAGTGGATATCGTTGTCAGGGAAACGAATGGAGTCTTTTCATGTTGCTTGCCTCAAATTTTGTTTTAAACAAGTAAGGATCAAAGAAGAATTGTGACAGATTGTTGTCATAGTAACTAGTCTACTACGTTTGGTTTGAATTTATTTCTAGCAATTTTCTCAAGCAGATATATTTTTGAAGCATAGATTTTGCAATATTTTGTTGAAGATTCCCAGGTTTTTAGCTTTTAAAATTTTCAACTCCCTGTCATATAAAATTATATGAATTCTCCCATATTTCAATATTTCTTCCAAAGAGAGTAATATATGTATGTGTACATGTATTAGGAATCACTCGCATTTTTAAACCAATGCTGTAGAATTTATAAACCCTTGTATCTTCCAGACTAATTGTACTGCTCAAGATACTATCATAATTTATATGGCATTTGAATTTTATGATATTCATTATCTTTATTTTTTTTTTTGGGAGGGGATTTTTATTAAGAAGCCACAGTATATAAATTCATTGCTGAATGTGAAGGCAGGCTATCATGGATTTATTGATTTGATTGACACCATGCAGGTGTTGAACACCTAATTAGAATTGTTACAGTTTAATTTTCCCTTTTCTTTGGGAATTCGAACTTTTTGAAGAGTATTGAATATAATGTAAGTTCTGCCTTTGTATAATTCATCATCCCTGCAGATGCTCTGAAGTAGATTGTTTTACCTTGTATCCTTGGATACACCAATGGACAAACAACAAAATGTCAGCTGATCAGATCCAGCCAATCAAATTTCCAGATGTTAACCCTAGTGACCTTCCACCTACCTCAGATTTTTCCATGGCAGCTGGAGACTTTCTAGAGGTGTATCAAACTCCCGGTAATATTGACATTCCGTTCCATGTTGTCATTTGTGTGTTGTAGCACTTGAATAGATTTTAAAGGATTAACATAGATTCTTCAAATTCAGTTAAAATTAATGAAAAGCTATGTTTTTTATGTATGGAACGAGGTTGCATAATTATTAAGCGTTTCTCAAAAGTTGAAATTCACATTGTTTAGGAAATAATGGTAAGTAAATTTTTTGACCACCCACAATAGTTTGCTACAATGTATGTTTTGAGGCAGAAATAGATGAAACAGACTTTGATAGGAATGGCAAATAAACATGGCCTAAAATTGTGTAATTTTGCTTTCAGATGCATATGACTGTGTGGCCACAGTGTTTTTTCTGGACACAGCACATAATGTAATAGCTTACATAGAGACGATTTATGATATACTCAAACCTGGAGGTTACTGGGTCAATCTAGGTAAGGCCAAATAAAAAAATATGTGTGGTTCCGGTTACCCGACCTTCCCTATTTTATACCCCCGACCCTAAACTTTTTTTTTGGCAATTTTCATATTTTTTCCGGAATTTTCCCTGATTTCCATCAATGACTCCAGTTTAAGTTTTAGTTTCAGAAATTATGGCCTCCTTGCAAAACATAGTTTAATAGTGTTAAATCCAAAGCAAACTAGCATGTAGGTGTCCCCTACCAATATTGACTAGTATATTATCACACCACATCTAAATGCCATTTGCAAAGCAGTGATAGGTATTATTTCTAAAGAAAAAATTAAGAAAATCATTTTGCTAAAATTCCCTACCTACCTACCCTAATTTTTTTGGAAGTGTAACCGGAACCACACATATTTTTTTGTTTGGCCTAATGTAATAAAATGTCATAGGATCTAAGTATTGTAATGAAATCTCATAGGATCAAGGTAATGTAACAAAATATCATAGGATCTAGGTAAATTTAGTAAAATGTCAAAAGATAAAGGTAAGTGTAATAAAATTTTATATGGTCTAGGTAAAGATAATGAAATTTCAAAGGATGTAAGTAAGGAAATAAAATCTAAATATGTAGATAAATGTAATGATATCTCATTGGACATTAAGTAAATGTAATAAAACCTCATATTAGGATCTATATAATGTAATAAATAATCATAGAATCTAGGTAAATGTAATCAAATCTAGAATCAAGGAATTGTATAAAATGTCATAAGATCTAGGTAATGTAAATCAATTTCATGGAATCTAGATAAATGCAAAAAAGCCTAGATAATATAAATCTAAATTTATAATATCTGATAGGATCCAGCAATTGTAAGAAAATTGCAAAGAATCTACTAGGTAAATTTCGTAGGATCCGCACAACTAGACAATTTAGTATCATAAAGTCAGAATAATAATAACTGAAGTAGACCTAAGTCTGAATTTTATTAGACATCAGTTTATTTTAAATCTTTTCTTACAGGTCCCCTGCTTTATCACTATGCTGATATTGAAAATGAGACTTCCATAGAGCTGAGTTACGAGGAAGTCAAGAAAGTTATCAAAAAAGTCGGATTTGTTATTCAGGTAAGTATCCGTTCTTCTGTGAGAATTAAAGTATATATTTTTAAATTGCTTGAACTGAAAGTTTGGGTGAACTTATTGTTCATCTATCTGCCTGTCATTTGTAAACTGACCCCATTTTCAAATTCAGTCATTTTCAATTTGACTTTGTAAAAAGAATTACATTTGTAAAAGGTATGCAAACTTTCAAAAAGGAAGAATTGTCTCTCTGTTGCAAAAGGAGATAATTTGGAAATGTTGAAAAAAAGATGGGGCATTTTAATAAATTTCTAAAGAACAACTAGGCTAAAAATGACCCAAAAAACAAATGCATGAAATCCCTCAAAGGGTCCTTGTTCAATTAATAAAATGAAACAAGAATTAAAGGTCAGATAACAGTTCAAATTTTGCTTTGGTATGCATTTAAAAAATCTTCAAATGGAAAAAAAATTAATGATTTTTGAACTGTCGTGCAAGCACACCCCTGGAATTTATTAATTCATATAGTTTTTATTAAGGTAGTAATATATTTTGAGGTGTGGACACACCAAAGAAGTACTTGTGTGATAAAACCCATAAAACATATTCCTAGTGTGATGTTCTGATTACAGAAAGAAGAAACAGATATTTCCACAACCTACACACAGAACCCAGCCTCCATGCTTCAATATAGATATAGCAGTGTTATGTTTGTCTGTCAAAAACCAAAGGAAGCAAAAACTGCCTGACATTCCATCACCTTCAGTTTTATCCATGGTTACAAACTTCCCCATGGCAACAGCAAGCTATCTTTATGGTTACAGACCAATTGCATTATGAGATTTGGTTGGACTTTGGAGTATCCATGAATTGCAAGTCACAAGTATAAACTAGTGTGAAGGGAAAGAACTCTGTGATGTCAACATTGTTGTTTTTGAGTATACAGGTTTTTGTTTTGTAGATTTAGCTAGGATATAATATTAGTATTTCCCATGTGATGAAAAGCCAGATTTTCCCCCTGGCAAGAACAGGAAAGAAAATTTGGAAAAAAGCATCCTTCAGAACCAATATTTTAAATAAATCCCTTACATGACTTTCGAATATTATCTTGTCTTTTGATGTCTTTTACCAATGATTTTGCAAGAAAATAAAAAAAAAATTGTATTTGTGTATGCTAAATTAAACATATTTTATCAAACATGTTAAAATACAGGGAGTAAACAAGAAATTAAGTTGTTTATCACACTTAACTACAATTTATTAAATATTAGCAAGACAAAATGAGCAAGGGATATATAGTGGCGATTTTAATTTGTTGTATACATGTAACTCAAAAAACTTCCAAATAAAAAGGAATTTTAGATGGCATCTTTTAATCCCTTTGTAAAGGTCAATCTGAATAAAGCCAGACCTCTTTTTACACTATGGCATAGAGGGTCAGACCCTCTCGGGGAGTAAATGGAGGTCTGTGAACCTTTTTGCAAAATTATCTCATGAATATTAATAAGACAAATATTTTGCAATTCTCCAACAAGTACCTAAGGTATATCGGTAATAAGTCATATGCACACACAAAAATCATATGTATATATTATTAATTTAGAATATATTGTGAATAATCTTTTTAGAAAAATATAATATCTTTATAAAACAAAGATATTTTAGAGATGTCAGATTTTCATATTAGATTTTTTTTGTGTGTGAAAAGGGCTTCTGAATTTACTTAGGTTGTGTACATGTCCATTGGCCTGTACATCTACACATGTTATGGTCAATAAGTCATATGCCAACTTAGAGAACAAAATAAGTTACTTGTATCATGTTTAGATTATTAAATAATTTATTGTCATTGATTTGGAATTCAGTACATAGACAATTTCATCATTACAACCTTTTCCCTAAGATTTCATTTGTTTGATGTAAATATTTGAAAAACAAAACAAAACAAAACAAAAAACAACATTATTTTAAATTTTTTAAGGAGATAAAATAGTCTGCAGCATAGATTTAAATTTGATGAAATAAATTAATCAAATCTCTTGGAGATTAACTATATGAATATCTAACTAATGCTCTTCTTGTTTTTGATTACATGATAAATATCTTTTCTTGATTTTTACAAGATTTGTTCTTCAATCTTAGCAATGATATATAATTATAATATTTGGCATGTAATATAAATTTAATACACAATCACATGCCATATTATATGGCCAATAAGTGGTCACATATAGATAAACTACATTTTTTGTCCTATCCAGTAGATGCTCTTTCAATATCACTGACTAACAGTCACACATCTATTTCCATGTAAATGCAAAAAGCACAGTCAATTGTTCACATTATTTTTTGATGCTTGGTTTTGGGGGCTTGAAAATTCCAATCTTCCGAAGCTTGCGAACAATTATGGGAGCACAGGTCAAGGTTATCCCAATACGCGGCACAGCGAACATTTTGTGAACTGCATAAGCAATAACAAATGTACTAGCCCCTGCTGCAAGAGCCGATTCTAAAATCTGTTCCGAGACCCCTAGCTTCCTGAGAATTCCGACAACATCAACTCCGACAGACACTAAGAAATAGAAGAATCCCAGGGACATCAACGCAATACATATGTGGAAAATGATGACCACGGGTCCATATTCTTTCACTGCCCTCTTGAGTTTCTGCCGTTGTGTAAGTTGAGCTTCGACATTTTCAGAGTTTGTGCTTGTCTCCTGGTTCGAGACGTCTTCATTAGTAGTGTTCTCTGAACTCTTCTCTTGGGATAGATCTAATTTTTTCTCGCACAGTAAGAGCACTGAAGTTGCAAACGATCTGTTGTCGATGTTAACATGAGTGACATTTATTGTATTCAAGAGTGCCGGAAATGAATTGTTGCAGGCAGTTGTGTTTTTAGATGTGTAAGCACCATTTATGACATGTAAACATCTTATACCATGAGGTGTACAAGTTCTAATGTTCAAAATGGGAATTTGGGTAAATAGTCTGGATGCACAGCCCTTGAACGATGCACAAGCAGTGCTTGTCCCAAAATGTGACCCACATAACCGCACCGTCATTGGCATTTTCTGATTTAAAATTCCAAGATGGCTCCCGTTTCTCAAGACGGAATTTAAAAGGCACATATTGCTCTTAAACTGGTGCATATTTATTTAATTTTCACGAACTTCACAGACTACTGTTTACCTGCCATATGTCTAAAATTTTTTCATCTTGACCAAAAAAGCGCTTACGAATCGTATAGAGTATCCTTGTCTCATTAAGCGTTTGAAAGATCTAAATATCAGTGAATTTACTAGTTACTGAACCATATTACAGGAGAGGATAAATCCGGTTTACATTCTACTGGTGGAAAAGTTCATTGTTGAAGATACTTTGTGCTTAATGAAATCAGGAACATGTTTGTCTCTCATGGAAGGTACTTTTCTACTTAATGTGATAAAATTGGTGATAACTATTTTATCGACAAAGAAGACGGGCGAATAAACCGAAAAAATGCCCATGGTGCGACAAATAAGAAAATGAAAATCAAACAAAATTTTCTTTCTTATTTCAGTTAACATTTATGTATATTTTATGTGATATCTTCACAATTTGCTTTAATATCACAAATATTGAAACTTTTCGTCTATGAAGGGAAGAGCATGCACATACCAAAGGTATGACAAAAAGGAGATCATTTCTTCATACTATTACACATTTTTTCCCAGTATGAGTGGGTCTAAGCTCCATTTTTCCAAGTATGCGTAAAAATGTGCTTTCTCCTTTTAACAAAAACATGGAACAACGTAAAGGACCCACTAAATATTAAAAAATACACTTTTATGACAGAACAGTCGTATCTTTTCGAGAAATTAGGTTATTCAAAGGCAAACAAAATGTAAATGCCACTGTAATTATGTTATGAGCACAGGTACCTGACAAATGGATGGTGTAAGAACCCAGAACCGCTGCCCCCCCCCCCCCCTCCGCTTCTGAGAATTTTTTTATTTTAAGATATACATGTAAGACACGATTTCTTACCTAACATGAATTCCTAACCCATCACATTTATATTCCAATATCGCTTTTTTAAAGTTTTACATGTAGAGATTGGCCCTTTACTGTATATCAAAATACAGAAGGTAAGAAACAATTTTATAAACAAATGAGGGTCCCATCCTCGACGTTTATATACAGTATATTACCAAAGGAATGTATGCAAGAGGCAGAATTAAACACACAATGAGGGATGGCCTCAACTGAGGGAATTAGTACCAGAGTACTACATCAGCTGAATTATAAACAAGAGCAAGATTACTGAATCACTTACCTTATCGTAGCAAGAAGATAATTTGTTCCCTTTTCATTTTCGGAAAAGAAATCTCTGCTGATGCTAGCTCATAATTGGCAATTTCGCGTATAATAAATTGTATATTTATGCTGTTTGTTTTGCGTGGAAGTATCTATATTTCTGAAAAATTTTTGCGTGTGAATTAAAAAAAAAACCAACCTTTATACATTTGAATGTCTGAACGGTACGTAATTACTTATCCTGGGGCCCCTTTTACAAAAGAACTTACGACTAAGACCAACATTTAATTCTGCTTATTACTTTTTTATATGTATAAATGAAAATGGTTTTAATCTTTTTAAAAAGAATTTAACAATATATATTTTTATGCTAGCAATTTCAAACAGAGTCATCAATTCTGCAAAATATTACAATCAACTAAATTTTTGGGTCTTAGTCGTAAGTTCTTTTGTAAAAGAACTTCCATTGAGGTTATTTTCTTATTAAAAAATCTCATCGGTCATTAATGGCAGTTCGCTACAAGCAATACTTGCTTGGATTGATATATATTTTTTGACTTCTTTTGGTAGTAAATGGTGTATACATTTCTAATCTTTTAGATATTGAGAAATTGTGACCTTTTTTTCTGATGTTCAAAGTCTTCCTTTGTGAATCACCCTAATAAATCTACGCATTTTAAAATTACTTTTTTATAGGACATTTCTGAGAAAATGAGAAAGAAATTGAAACTTTTATGCAGCTAAAACTTATTCATTAAACTGAAATAAAACCATACATTTAGTTGTTATTTTTATGATTTTTGAAAAGCTTTGTTTGTATCGCATCATTTCCTGAATACAGAAATTGGAAATGTGGCCGGGAAAATGACATGTAAATTGCGCCCGATTACGTACTGTGCATAAGTCACATTTATAACGTCAAAAAAATTGAATTAATTGGCAATATTAATATGATATTTCTCCCCTTTTCAACCATATATGATTACATGTAAATAATTTCACACTTTGAGAAAATGATGTGTAGACAGCCTTCTTGTTTATAAAGATTCTATATATTATATACTAGTATGTTACGCCAATGATGATGACAGTAATTTATAATTTCTTCGATCAGAGTTTTTTATTCAGTTTTTCCGACGCACTTATGAATTACGAAAGTTTAAAAACCTTAATTTTTTTCTGTCAATGAAACAGAAGAATACAGTCCTATAGCAAAATTTATTGCATGATATGAAAATTGCATCGATCATATTGCTTTTTTTGCATCGTTGCATGTCTAAGAACATCACACCTATCTTTAGCCTGATCCGCGCCTCAATATCTAAAAGCTTACTTGCCATCCCAAGGAAATTCACCTTTTCCTAAAAATTCCTTGAAATACATGTGCAAGTTCTCGGCATTAACCTCGGTAAATTCAAAATTTACAACATGATACATATACTCAAACACGGTTAAAACATGTAATATCCTTTCTATCAACATGATAATTATCATGTTATAAATTTTGCATTTACCCCCCCCCCCTAGTAAATTCAAAATTTACAACACGATATATACTCATATACGGTTAAAACATAACATCCTTTCTCTTTTTTGGCGGAGTGTACATATACTCAAGCACGGTTAAAACATAACATCCATTTTTAAAAGTTAAAAAGGGCCTATAAAGTGGAGTTTAATGAGTCTTTGGATTAGATACACTAAGTATGAATCCCGCTCTTCGATATTTGTTGAATGTTGGTCAAAAGCATCAGGAAACCCTTTATTTTGTCATTGTCTCTCAGTTCTCTCGAGATTAAAAGACAGCCCCCCCCCCCCCCCAAAAAAAAAAATCTAGTACCTTGTACGAGTCTGAAATGTTAAAAATATAAATTGTTATAATGAAAATATAATCACAAGAATGTAAATTATTGGCATAATCGCTTTTACACGTTTCGTCTTGATTTACAAAAATGACACTGCATGACATTTTGGTGACGTATATATGAGCCATTGATATGTTTCTTTTTACTACATGTAGTATTTTATAAAAGTGTGAAAAAATAAATTCTTCCATCCAACTCTGTGTCTGTCAATCTACTCTATCTGTCTTTCTATACTGATCTGAATGGACACAAAAGATTGAGCAAAGTATTAAATCTGCAACACCGACTGTGGTGCAGGTGGCTGAGTTCTACAAAACAGACTATGAAGATGACATACACAGAAGCAGGATAGATTCTTGAAAAACGTTTCACGATTCTAGAGTAAGGGGCCCCGCTCCCTGATATTGACTTCACGACTGAATGTAGCTAGGCTATCCTGGTTTGCATCAGCGAGCTTTCTTGAGAGCATGCTGCTACATCCAGAGACATCCAAAAGAATAATGTAAACAACAATGGCGTGTTTCTTGCCACGTAACACATCAATTATATAGAGAAACCAACAGAAACTGCTTCAAGAAAGACAAATGATTCTGTGAAATCATAAAATTTTGAACACTAAAACATTATCTGGAGTGTTTATGAACAGTTGTTTTGTTTTAGAGTTGTGAGTAACATAATCAGGACTCCAAATCTCGTCCTCATCAGTCAATATAACGCGAGACTCTCGTCCATCGGAACTCACTTGCAGTATCAGATGCTTTCGAAAGTCGGCAACAAGAAGGTAACCACTGAAGGAAATTAACGTCTTTGGTTCATCTCCTACTTCATGGTGCCAGAGAGCCTGACCATCAAATGTAAAACTTACAATGCGACCATTTTCAGCGTCAGAAATATACACAACATCTAAGGAAGGATCAATTTGCACGAACTTGGACATTTTTATGAGTGCTCCAAACACCCTGCAACTTTTAATGACGTAGCGTTGTTTTCCTCGCTCGTTCAGAATTCTAACATTTCCACTAGTTTTATGAATATCACAAGTAACAGCGTAATTTTTATGAGCAAAACAGATTCCAAAGCCCTGACCATTGAGCTTGAAACATCGCTGTTGCAACACAAATCCAGTTTTATCCACGAAATAAAAGTGAACCTCATTTCCACACGTGATTGCCACCTCATTACTGTAAACAGAACTAATTCCGATACACTCCTCAGAAACGAACTCCGAACAAACAAATTCCTGGTTTTCGTCAAATAACTTAAGGGCATTGTTGTTCAGATCTAAAATTAGCACACATCCGTCTGACAAGGTTGTAATTCCATGGATCCAGCATGGGATGACGTCATCTGGTGATGACGCCGACCAGTGCTTTTCGAAGAGGACTGTGACTTGTGGGAGTGTCGATTTTTCCTCTTCGGCACGGTTTCCATTTTGATCTAAAAAGGCAATATCTGTCATTGTGGCTTGTTTTTCTAGTTTAATAATACTGTCAGTTGTTTCTATTTCTGGTGTAATTGCGTCATGATGTACATGAACGTCATCTTCTGGAGATGTTGATCGCATCATGGCGTCTTGATCACTGTTTTTGCGGTATTTTTGGCTTACACGATCTATACCTGGTGTCATTGCGTGATTTGGTGTCACGGAAAGCAAGCGTATCTCTTTTGCAACACTCTCACACCTTGACTCGAAATCTTTACGCACAAAATCTGTCCTGGAACCGGAAGTGAAATTCTCTGACATATCAACACCCGAGTCATCCAAGTCATTTACTTGTTCCTCGGGAATTTTTTCCATAACGCGTGATTTAGACCTATCCGGCTCCTTGATCTCGTTTTCATTTCTATTTGCCTCTTTTTCGGTCTCATTAGAATTTGGTTTGTGTTCGGAGGAAAATTCCTTTACAGCATTAACCTTTATCTGAATAGCACGAGGGGTTCTTGGTGTTGACTTATTGTTTCCCATACTCTACCTCAAAAAAGGTGCTCGTTCTAAAAATAACGACTCCTCTTTTTCATTTACAGGTCAACTGATTTCACAAAGTCAAACATTAGATCCAACATTGGGTTTTTAATTTTGCCGTGTGATTTCTATTTTGAATCTCATCGAATTTCGATTTTATATACATGAAAACTGTGAAAGACTAGAAATATTCTATCTCCTCAAACACACTCTGTTAAAGTCACTTTGTGAAATCACGCACAGTTGAAACGAGAAAACTGTCAACGGCAACAAATAATTAAATGCAGTTGAAATGTTAACAAGATTGTATTGTGCAATGTGTTTCAGTATTGATTGGGAAAAAAAATGTGCTTCTTGTTCTAATTGGACAACCGCCATTAAGGATTAACACACTGATTAATATATTTGGATTTTAAACTTTTAATATACTCTCCCGACTTGACTTTATGAAATACATGTACAGATATTTGTAATCCTTTGGTCTTTAAATAATAAATGTATATTAAATTGCTGAGTGCGAAATCGTTATTATGACACGATTTTAATGTGTATGTTTTAACAAAACTGTTAACAAATCGATTTTGATACCCCCCTTTTTAACCGTTCAAGTAACTGTTTTCTTGTTTTCTCAGTAATAAGATCATACGAATGAGCTCAGTTACACAAGCACAAATTTATCTGAATCCTATATTTTGAGAAGGAAAACACTAAGTTCACTCTAAATTTTTATCATATGCACTTCCATTTTTCATTTATTATTAAGAATCCATACGTCATCTCTTCTTTTATAATTATTACATACATCAAAATATTCATTTAAATATACATGTATATAATTGATGCAAGATTCCAAAAAGTTTAATGTCCATAGACTTCACAATAAAAGAAAACTCGATCATGAAAAAGTTCTGAACTTACGACATGGACTTATCTTAACGACTCTCAGTCCATAAAAAATACATGTATTACTCCTTTTTTCCCACTTTTGTTTAATGATGAAATATGAAGATAACGAACAGTATTCAATCTCGAAAGTCCAATGAAACGATACAAATTTGAAGCAGAGCAAATACGGACCTCAAAATTTAGATGTGGGATCAGGTGCCATGGAGGAGTGAGCATCCCCTGTCGACGGTCACACCCGTGGGGGAGCAAATTCTGTGACTGTAGTAAAAAAATCAAAATATTAACAATTATGTAATTCGTGGACAATAACATCATGGAATTTGAAGATAACGAAGAGTGGTCATGCGCAAAAGTCCATTTAAACTATAAAAATGTGAGCAGAGACGTAAACGGACCTCTGAAAACAGAGGTGGGATCAGATGCCATTGAAGAGTAAGCATCCCCTGTCAACCGATCAAAACCGCCGAGTGCTCTTTGTTACGACCGGGTAAACGGAAAAATCCGTAGACAACTGAGCGTGAAAATAATGGCTTCACAATTTAAATGAAAGAGTCATTCAACATTGGACCTGATGGCAGACTCTCCTATTTGAAGAAAAAATTGAATTTTGTTGATCACCCAATTTCGTGGTTTAAAGAGATTTAAACTGGTGTTCAAAAATAACTGAAATCACAGTATTAAAATGAACACACTAATTTCAACTCACATCTTAAATGTAAGAAAATAAGCTCATCTCCCATATAAAAATTCAGCTTTAGGTTTTTTCTATGACAAACATCCTTAATTGACAAAATTTGATTTCCATATCAAAATGGAATTTCTGCTTGTAAGTTACTTCCGGTTTTTGACATGTGACAGACAGGGCCTGAATTTTTATTAAAAAATTCAGAATGAAAAGTTCGGAAGTCTCTGCTATACGCCTAACCGATGGAGTTTGAAGTAGGGCGTCTGAAATTGAGATAGGTACTTTGTGTAAGAAAATGAAAGGAATGGCCCCATATTCGAAACAAGTGCCTGTTACCTGAACCCATATTTTAAAAACTTTTCGTGAAAGGCACAACGATCCAACACTTTTTGGTAATGATGATAAAGATTTTGAAGTTTTATGGTATGTAAATACTTCTAAAATTTGCAAATCAGTGCATCTTACATTTAAGACTTATGTGAAAATGAAATAGAAAATTTTAGGTCTGGAAATATTGCTGTGTATATTCATAAAAACACTATGTTACTTGTGTTTAATTCGGAACTTTAAAAGAAATATGTGTTTTATATTTTGGTTCTTCGGTTCAATAAAGGAATGTCATGATCTAAATTTTGAATTTATCGGGTGGGAGTAAATACAAAATTTAGAGCACGACAATCAACTAGTCTAAGAGTAAATTCAAAATTAAGAACAAGACAACTACCCGATAAATGAATACATGGTTACCGCCAGGTAAATTCAAAATTAAGAACATAGCAGGAATCTTAATATATTAAAATATTAAAGTAAGATTAAAACGTGATAGAAAAATTAAATAGATATAGCAATAGTACAGGGATGCTTGGATGAAGTGGTAAAAGTGAAGGTTAGAGACCGTATCCAAATAGATCGATTGACCCTTATAATTTAAATCTGGCACTTGAATGAAGAATCGCAGTTCATTTAATGGACCAATTGAGAAAAAAATAATGACAAAAAAAAAACTTAGGGTGCACATAATTTAAGATGAGCAGATCAGCCGTTAATTGCATTATATGAATATTATCGAAAAATGTATTTTCAATCAGCAGTTGTTTGTATTGGTTACAAGTTTTATGCCTGCAGAACCTTTACAGTCAAACCTTGTTATCTCGAACTCGAAAGAATGGAGAAAAAACTTCAAGGATTCAAGATATCTAGGGTAAAATACTTAGAGAATAAATGAATGGGGACTTCCAGATCACTTCAATATACTTTCAGGTAACCATTGTATTCGTGGTATCGATGTTCAAAATACCGAATTTAACTGTATTTTAAAAAAAAAAAAATTCTTTGACGATCTAAAATTTCCGCGATTTCCTGCATGAACGTTTTATATTTTACAATCCTGATAATTTTTGGAAGCTCAGACTACATATAGTATTAGTCTCATCGCAACAGTTCAGGTAATTTGTGATAACCCCTAGAAGTTGTGTCACGTATTTTAAGTTTAGAACTAAATTGTGCACTTAAGAAACGAACAGGTAACTTCTCATATACTCTGATAGTGATAAACTACAAAAGGTTTTATTTTGTATATATCATGCCGTATTTCTCTCCATCTGTTTAACGCGTTGAAAGTTATCCAACGATTTATTACTAACAAGTCACCATGAAAAAAATCTAATCTAAATTTTAAAATTTTAGACAATCAGTTTTGTTTGTTTGTTTATTGTTTAACGTCCCTCTCGAGAATTTTTCACTCATATGGAGACGCCACCACTTGCCGGTGGAGAGCTACAAATTTTGACCTATACTCGGCACTTAGGGCCATTGAGCAGTGAGGGATCTTTTTCGTGCCAGCACCTACTGCGACACGGGACCTCGGTTTATACGGTCTCATCCGAAGGACCGGTCTCCACGTCCCACAGTGGGATTCGAACCCGCGACGTAAGGATCAACTCCTTACTCCGCGACTCTAGAGTGAGCGCTCTAACCACTGCGCCACGCTGGCGACTTAGACAATCAGAAAAAAGAAAATAATGTATCAATTAATATCATTTTTGCCTTACGTAGAAGTTTAAATAACTTTTTTTTCAATAATTTTTAACAGCAGAATGGCAGAAATCCATATTTTCATCATTTTGTCACTGATGTTTGTTCTACGAATCTCGTCCAAAGATTGCAAAACTCAATCGTGCTTAACTAATCTGTACAATTCCAAAGTAATCTTTGCAGATTATTATGTAAGGTGAGCAAATTCAATTTCATTTTTTTTAAAAGCGTTTAAAAGAACTCGTTAGGAAACATGAATTTTTAGTTTTTAGTAGGTGATCGTTCTCATGTTATCGAGATTTTGTTGTTATCGGAGAGCAGGGCATCAAAATAAAAGAAGGAAAATTAACAATCGCCAATACAAAAAGCTGACGCGGTAGTTTCGTAGTTACCAGGGTATGTTGAATTTGTGCCTGTCGCACGTTGCACTACGTTATGTGGGAAAGACAAATCAGGACGATATGAAAATAAATTGTCACGTGTCGTAATGATGTCATCTTTATATTCAGACCCTTGAGTGGATCGTTAATTTCCGGAAGCTTGGGATCATCTACCGGAGGCAGCGGATCGGTTTTGGGGAAGAAGCGAAGCTTTGACTATTTTCCCCGCCACGCAGGAATTGTCGTTACCCTGGAAAACTGGGAACGATGGTTGATTCACAAAGGGTCGAATTACGGTGATGCGTCCGACACAGTCATTACAGATGCTGATTACACGAGTTCAAGGTAAATTCTTCAAATATAAGATAATTTTCTACATTGCAATTTGAAGTATTTCTACACTTCTACATGTACAACTTAGTTTGGACCAGTTCGAGCTCGATCACCTGTTGGCAAGTATTTCGAATGGCTTCGGTGATGGCTTTGGTCGATGCGTCGATTTCAAGAGCATTCAAAATTAATATAGATGTCCAAATTGTATAGCCTTCATTCATTTGCTTGGAAAAAATGCATTAATTTTATTTATGGTATTTACACAAAAAGCAACTTCTTCTTACATTTAGATAAGATCCACGAGCAATAAAGATATATCAAATATTTCTGCAATGCTTAATTGCGAGCATAAAATAATCAAATTTGATTTTTGAGCCAATGTCAGCAGATACAATCTATCATTAAGTCAAAAATTGACTGACGTTTTTCATACAAATTGTTAGGCCATTATTTTTACACCGAGTTGTCTACAGATTTTTCCGTTTGCCCGATCATAACAAAAAGCGCACGGCGGGTGTGACCGGTCGACAGGGGATGCTTACTCCTTAATGGCACTTGATCCCACTTCTGATGTTTTTCAGAGGTCCGTGTTTGCTCTGCTCCCAATTTGTATCGATTTGTTTCAATGGACTTTTGAGCTTGATTACTGTTTGTTAACTTCATATTTCAGCCAGAAACTTATAGTTGTTCATGATAACTGTACTTTCTTTACAGTTGGAGTATGATCAAGTATTCCCAGTGGCTCTTTAACTGTGGATACACCGTGAACACGTTCATACAGAATGCCCTCATACTGGAACCCTACAACCTGATTGGGGCCAACTGCCAGAAAGCAGCAAACAGAATGTGGGAACTGGTGGAGAGATTTTAACGCAGAAATAGTAAAAATGGAAGCAATTTTATCTTGAATGTACTTGTATTAAATGGTATAAATATTAAGAAAGTTTGCAGATTTCTTTTTGGGATTTTTTCATTTTTATTTGAGGAATTACTCAAAGTTTAAGTCGGAATGTTACAGATCCGCTCAAAAATATTATCAATGGCCTGTGTGCTTATTTGATGGAAGCGTTACATTTGTATTCCTTTCGCTTAAACCCTGTGATAATAATAATTGTAAAGATTTTCAGTTACGAATGTTGTTTTGTTTTAAAGATCAAATATTTTATTAACCATTTTAGGACAATGTATTTCTAGACAATTTTATAGAGACACGTATACTTTACCTAATAATGGGTTTTTGATTTTTTTTCTTTAGGAGAAGTTTTTGGATATATTTTTGTCACAGAGGGGGACAGATGGAGAGCAGACACAGGATAAAACTGCGTATTTCAGTCAATTTATTGGTCACTATTTGTCTGTAATTACATATACATGGAAAAGTCTTATTAAATCCTGTTACTACAAAGACATACACTTTGCAGCTAGGTAAGGATGTCCATGGGTAACAGGCCTTCAAATATTACAAGAAAATGAACACAGTTTTGATATTTTTATATATGGGGTCTCTGCATGCTGAGTTCGGCCAAGGCGACGTCTTTTATATTCGCTGTTTGTCATGTGACAGGTTAAAAAAAAGGAAAAAACGCACTGCTACAAAGATAGTAAAAGTTTCGCAATGAAATGTATTGTGGTTGTTTGAGACAAATTCCTTAACATAAAAAGTGCTGATAGCAACTTTCTTATGCTCGGGAATTGTGTGAAATATTGCCTTCTTCCGATAAACTTTGAAATAATGATAAATTACGAAACAAAGCAACAGCACACGACCAGCTCCCAGCACTTTTCAAAATTTTAGCTTTTTATAGCTACACGTGTTTGAAAACTCATTATTTATAGTGAAACGGATTTCGTTGAATTACTGAGATTTTCGAGGGGGCTGTGCCTGTTATTCTTGTATGTTTCTGTACAAATGTGCCGTACTACGGCTTTATTTAAGGTCTATGCATTTTTAATTCAATTAGACAATAAAATATTGATAAATACATTGAAGAATATGTCTCCATTTGTTCAGATCAAGCTGGTTTCATTTTAATTTTCATTTTTACAAGATAAGACAAAAGCTTGATCCACGCCCCAAGTACAGAGAAACTGCGTGTCAAACTATTTAGTGACGTCATCTCAGTCAGTACAGCGAGATCTTAGATTGGCTTTCATTCTACATTGTTATTACTGCAAAATAAGTTGCCCATTGATTTATCTCTACATTATATTTAAGAAACAAAGTATTTCAATTTGTATGAAAAATAACATTAGCTTTCGTTTATGAGATTAATATTGTATTGTTTCAATGTGACGTCATAATATTTTCCCGAACCTCTGCAGAGGCTTATGTAAGTATTGCAGTCTTTTACCTAGATGAAATTAAAAGATTACCTTAATAGTGCAAATAGATTTGGTGTTAAAAGTTTGATTACCACATTGTGTTATCATCTATTATAAAGCCTGATAGTTCTCATTTCTTAATAGTTATTCTTCTCTGTTATGAAAAAAATGAAATCGATCGTCCAAATAAAGAAAATACATTTATCACAAAAATTCACTGGTAATTTAATTTTGCATCTTCAATATAATGGTGTGAAAATTAGCAACATCAATCAACCAGACTTGTAAGAGATTTATTAGGACCCGACACTCCAAACCACACTTATAGTAGATATGTTTTTTGCATAGAGCAGATTAATTTGAATTATGCAAGTAGTTGTAGAGTGTTTCGGCAGTTAAGTAGCCTCATCAGGGGTCACAGACACATAATATGAGTGGAAATTAGCGACATCAATCAACCAGACTTGTAAGAGATTTATTAGGACCCGACACTCCAAACCACATTTATAGTAGATATGTTTTTTGCATAGAGCAGATTAATTTGAATTATGCAAGTAGTTGTAGAGTGTTTCGGCAGTTAAGTAGCCTCATCAGGGGTCACAGACACATAATATGATGTTCATTTTAGGTGAGACCTGATTATCTCGTCACCTATGTTCTTGTGTTTGCTATAAGCTATGATTGGTTGAAAATTAAATAAAGTTTTGCATTCTGGATTTCTAAGAATGGTATTCCAATATTTCAGAATTCGTTTTTTCAGTCCTTTAATACTAGGGTTAAATTTAGTAACCAGTACTGTAGGGTTACGTAATGGTTGTTCTTTAGTGTTTTTGAGGATGAGTTTTGATCGGTTTGTGTTGATCGTTTCTTTGATAGTAGGATCAATTTCTGAAGTAGAGTAACCTCGCCTTGATAGGTGCGTCTTGAAGTCATTAAATGTTGCATATAATATTGTAGAGTCAGTAGCACGCAGGTACGTTAAGGCTTCCCAGAGAATATTGCAGTGTACTCTGTGCCTTCACTTCTCTGAACTACAAATATATGACGTCATAATTGAAAATGACGTCAAGTCACTGCAAACTAGAGATGTTATGATGGGGAGAGTGTCATAAACATTACACCTTATTTCAATCTGCATATAAAGTGTCAGGAAGATAGTGTAAAATAAACGTGTTCTAATCTTTTTTAAAAATCTTTTATATCCGAATATTTTTTCCAAGACGCATTTCAGTAAGAACGTTAGATCCTTAGGGTTGGGATATGGAATGTGTAATTCCGTTTTATTGGCCTGTGTGTAAGCCTCGTTCCCCGAAGAGAGAAGTTCGTTGAATTCCATGTTTGTGTACATGCTCGTCACATCATAAGTTATTAATAATGCGTTTGTTGGTAGTGTAAGGCCTTCAGTTTTGTTGATAAAGTCCGTAGTGTCTTTGATATAAGTTGATTGTTTTTGTACAATAGGGACAAGAAAGTAATCGCAATATTGTCCTATTTTCCTTGTTGGCGTATCGCATTGCGAGATAATTGGTCTACCAGGTGGTAAATTTCTAAGGCTGCACTGACCATTAATTAGAGCGTTGTAAATGTTTTCAGGTATTTTGTGGGTTTTTGGTAAAAGGTATAAATGCCCACATTTGAGTGAAGGTTTTTTGTCATTAAGAAACCTGTAAGTGTCTTTGTCCAATGACCCATTTGAATGCATTTCGGCAAGTTTATTTTGAATGTTTTCATGCAGTTTGAGCATGTTGGGCTCAGATACTTGCATATAGTGTTTAGATTGCAATTGGCGTTGTGCTTCTAAGACATACTGATCCTTGTTCATGATGACAATTGTGTTGCTTTTATCTGCTTTTTTTAATAACAATGTCATTGTTATTTTTAAGAGATAAAATAGCTGCTCTTTCAGAATTTGAGATGTTGGATCTCTTTTTTACAATTTCCATTGAGGAAAGTTCCGGTTTGTTTTATCTATGTATTCCTCGAGTTCGCTGCATTTACTGTTTGACGCCAGATTTTGTTTTAAAGGGGTGAATTGCAATGTTGTTTCCGGTATCAAAGTGGAATTTGCATCTGAGTTTTCTGGCAAATTCTTCAAAATCTTTGAGAAGCAGGTTTTTAGCATTGTCGCTTTTAGGCGTTGGAATGAATTTTAAGCCTTTGCTCAGTAAGGAGAGTTCATGTTTGGATAGGTTGTATCTTGATAGATTTAGAACAAACTTTCCCTCTGTGGCCGTAGTTTTTTTGCAGTGAGCTTTAACTCCTCGTAGATAATTACAAGTGCGTTTAGCAGTTTTGCATTGTTTACTCCGTCTATTTATTCGTCGAGCCATTTAGATAGAGGAGCAACAGGTGGTAAATATTGTGTATAGCGAAGCGCTAGAGATCACCAATGAGTATTTTGATGAAATAACAAATCCGTCTAATTATCAATGTGTGTTGATAGATTAGAGGATAGCGAGAGTGTGTGGCTGTAGGAAACTGATAGCCAGATTTTGGTGATTGGTTATGGTCACGAAGGAGGGGCTGTGTTTGTTTAAGAGCATAGCCAATGGATGGCTAATATAGAACGATTTTATGGTAATTATTTCTTGAGAATGTTAAATTCGTCTGATACATGTAGTGACATAATATAAGAGGCAATGAAAAGCATCCGTCTTAATATCATATGATGATAATAAGAGGATTAATTTGTTAAAAGATTATTTTTAGCCAGGATAACACAAATAATAAAAGATTGCAAACCAAAAATGAACTGGTGTATAATATACGAAACATAGTAATGATGTTAACATGAATTAATTTAATAATTCAAATAAACCAAATACAGAAACATAGTTGCACTTCTGCTGAATAATAATGTTATATACAGGCATGATTTCGTTTTAGAGTCCGTCACTATATAAGTAATATAGAGAAAGCAACAGGTAAGTTAATAAGGCCTTTTCCTCTGCATGTAGCGGTGACCGCGGTACTGGTAGTGACCTTCATTCCTCGATCGTTCATAGTTTTTGTTGTTAGTCGATTTGTTGGCTGAGTGGCTAGGTCTAGACGGGTAGCTTGGCAGAGTCTGAAGTTTGACTCGATGGTCTTGTAGCTTAGAGGTGTGTTGTTTGGTGATGGCTTTGATAGCATCATCCAGCTTGTTTTTTTTCAAACGTGAAGGTGTAGCTGTCCGTTTCTTCTTGTCTCTGTCTTAGAAAGTCTGCTCTCAGTTTGTTGCTTTGATAGCATCATCCAGCTTGTTTTTTTTCAAACGTGAAGGTGTAGCTGTCCGTTTCTTCTTGTCTCTGTCTTAGAAAGTCTGCTCTCAGTTTGTTGCTTTCTGTCTCCTTTTCTTGGATGGAGCGTTCAAGAAATGATATCACAGAATTGCCGAAAGCTTTGGTGGTTTTCTGCTGCAGTTCTTTAAAGAATTTGTTAAAATTCGTGTTTTCCTCTTTAGGGAGGTTCAGTTCACAATGGAGTTTAGCTCCGAACCAAGATGGAAACCTGACCGATTTTAAACCATGGGAGATGCTTTCCTTACGCTTGGCATATAATAAGCGGCTG